ACAGGTTGCGATCAAAACCATGAAGAAGACATTTGACTCCCTGGGTCCATGCCTGGACCTACGAGAGGTCATCTTCCTCCGAACCCTCCCTATTCATCCTCACCTGGTTCCCGCCCTCGACATCTTCCTCGACCCCCTCTCCCACAAGCTTCACATCTGCATGGAATACATGGACGGCAACCTCTACCAATTAATGAAGGCCCGTGACCACAAAGCATTTGACGGCAAGCACGTCAAGAGCATTCTTTACCAGATCCTGTCTGGCCTGGATCACATCCACGCCCACCACTTCTTCCACCGCGACATCAAGCCCGAGAACATTCTCGTGTCCACCTCCGCTCCCAACGATTCTACCTTCAGCCGCTACTCAAATCTCGTCACTCCTCCCTCTACTCCTCCTGTCTATACCGTCAAGATTGCCGACTTTGGTCTGGCACGTGAAACCCACTCCAAGCAACCGTACACAACCTATGTCTCAACGAGATGGTACCGCGCACCCGAGGTGCTTCTACGCGCCGGAGAATACTCCGCACCGGTTGATATGTGGGCGATGGGAGCTATGGCGGTAGAAATCGCTACATTAAAGCCCCTGTTCCCCGGAGGCAACGAGGTGGATCAGGTTTGGCGAGTCTGTGAGATCATGGGCAGCCCTGGAAACTGGTACAGCAAGTCTGGCGCAAAGATTGGTGGTGGTGAATGGCGCGACGGATCCCGCTTGGCTCACAAGCTAGGCTTCACTTTCCCTAAGATGGCACCTCACGCGATGGATACAGTTCTTCAACCCCCACAGTGGCCTGCGGCGTTCGCTGAGTTCGTTACTTGGTGTCTCATGTGGGACCCTAAGAACCGCCCTACATCCACTCAAGCATTGAACCACGAGTACTTCGCCGACGCGGTCGATCCCGTACGACCCAAGTCTTCGACTTCGGCCAGACTCCTGGGTCGCAAGCAATCTGACAGAAGCTTCAAGTCTCCCAACCTTACCCCAAGTGACTCTCCTACGTTGTCGTCCAAGCCTTCTTGGTTCCGCCGGTCTTTGATCGTTCGGTCTGACAGCCCTGCACCTGTCGAAGACAGCCCTGCTCGACCACCGGTCGTTTCTCAGGTCAATGTGCCTGAGATTCAACCTGTCAAGGCAGCCCGCCCGGCAAACACCAAGCGGGCCACCTGGGCCAACGGCGCCCCTATGCCTATCCTTCCTTCTATCCGTCCTGTCTCCCCTCTTTCCAACTCTGTTACCGCCCAGGCCAATGCTACAGTGGCCCACAACGAAGGCTCCAAGTCCTCTGACACCTCTACTAGCAAGTCTAGCATAAAAATTGGTCGTCAATTGTCAGTCAACTCCAATGGCAACCACTACTCGGATGTGCATCGCCAAGAAGCCGAGCGGATGTTGAATGGTTCCGGCAGCAACACTCCGACCGCGAAGGAGAGCTTCTTCTCGCATCTGCGAAAGCGCGCTCGCAGGCTGTCAGGACGCAATGCTCCCCCACCAACCGATGACATCGAAGCCAATGCGGGTTGCATACCTTGGTCGAACCGATCATCCATTGCTCTCGATGGTGCTAGCAACGAGCAAAAGCAGGGCTCCGACTTGAGCGAGCTGGACAAGGCGCTTCAGAGTGTCAAGTATTCATTGGATTCATCTACTTTAAGTAATGTCCCTGTGCATCTGAGCGCTGATGGACACACCACCAAGCGCCAGTCAATGCCTCAGGTTACAAGCAACCCTAGCCCGATCTCGAGCAGGACGCGTCGCGCTAAGCAGATGTCGACTCATCCGGTTCACCGGTACGAGACCCCTGAGGAGGAGGATGAGCTGCTGGATGAAGTGCTGCACTCAGCCAACAAGGCAGCCAGACGCCTGGCCCAAACTCAGTCTATGTCAGCTGAATCGTCCGTGGTAACCCACCGCCATGCCGACAAGTCGCGTACCATGCCAAGCCCATATCCCACACCTTCTCCCAGTGCGAAGGACTCAACCGCATTTGGTTACCAATCTACACCGAGTAAATTGAACCTCAAGGCGGACCACGCTGCGACCAACCGCCATTGGCCCACACCTCCGTATGAGGAAGCCGAGTGGCACAACAAGGGCTCTGACTACTTTGCCCGTGGATCCAACTTCATCTAAACACGACATCTCCAATTCAACACACGACTTCTCAAAAAAATGAGAAGCGAAAAATTCCCCCCGGCGAAATTGCAACAACGGAAAGACTGAGCTCACGGCGTATGGAATTTGATTCGGGCATTCTTGTTTATTCTCCCCACGGTCTGGCCATTCGGGAGTTTTCATTTCATATATGGGCATGGTTGTTTCGCCACTGGTTTCTCATTTCCACTTCATACCCCTACAGGCCTTTTGTTATAGATGGATACGGCCTTGTTTCACATTTTTTCTTTCCTTCACGGAGTCCTTTCGTTCGTCATTACTGACATGCACATTCACATCATTCGGGGCGTGTTTCCTTTCCTTTACATTTGATACCACGTGCGCGAGCCGCACGATATGCCACCTATCCTTTGCTTCACATACCTGATCTACCCTCACATCTTCTCGATGAATATGGCGTTCATTTTCTTTTGTTTATATATTATTTACCCCCTTGTACATTGACCAACATCATCCTGTCTATTGCCCTCATTCACTCGTTCCTGCATTATATTGCTATCAATTCATTGCCCACTTGCTTGTTCACTCTCTTGTATCATTTGCCCCTTTGACGCTGGCGGGGATCCAGCCCTTTATATACTCTTGTAATATAGCTCTTTCTGGTGATGACCGGACCTTACATACCGCTACCTTAGTACATACATGCATTTCAATCTGCTCACATTGTTATTCTCTATCTACGTAGTATACTTCGATCTCTAGGTGGGAATTCGTATTAGGTAGGATGCTGGTAATGGCTGTATAGCTTAAACAACGCCTAGGATAACCAGATCAAGACTGACAGTTATTTTCGAGCATAATAAGAGCAAATTAATGACGTTGAATGAATAGAGTTGTGCTTAGCACGATGGTTCTCATACATCGATCGATATCAGCGGAACAACTATTCTCCGCACAAATTTCCTGATTGAGACTGCTCTGCTCGGCCTTAACAACTTTTTCCTTGCCCATTGTGAACCACCAACTAAAAGCAGAAACTAGATTGGTAACAGTTTCCAGTCTACGCTTCTGACCGTCAACTCCGCCCAAAAGCCAATCATACCTATTACCAAATCGCGGGCCGATCACCACGAACTGAATTGCCAACAGCACCAATAATCTTGCGCAAGCATCTCACAAGCTCACCAACACCCTCATTCTATACCGGTGGTCCATCTCTTGTTAAAAGAAGTCCGGGATAAATCAAATAGCCAAAATGGCATCCCAAAGACAAGCAACATCAGCCTCCCAAGTCCCCCACCTCTCCCCCGCCGAACTCTCCTACCTCTACACCTCCCTCAGTCTTCCTAAATCACCAATCCGACCAGATGGCCGCTCACCCACACAATTCCGCCCCTTAAGCGCAGAAACAAACATCCTGCCCGGCACAAACGGCAGCGCGCGCATTGGGTTCGCAGATGGCACACAGGCAATCGTCGGTGTCAAAGCCGAAGTCGAGAAGACGGTCATTGCGGCCGATACCCTTGACTCGCGCAGTCTCGGACAGCAGGGTGACCAGCTGAATCGCGAAGGCGAGGAGGGCTCTGCCGCTGTCTCTGGGCAGGGCGAGTGGGTGCAGATGTCTATTGAGATTCCTGGGTTCCGGGATGATGATGCTTTGCCGGTCTTCTTGTCCGAAATGATGAGGGAGAGTCTTGTGGGCTCTGTTGAAGATGGGAAAGACGCTGAGATGGCCGGTGGATTGAAGGGGAGACTTGTCATTAACAAGCGTTGGCACTGGAGGTTGTATATCGATGTGAGTGTTTCCTCTTCCGTGCGACAATGGCCGCAGAGCCTTGATATCCCACCACAAAAAGTTATTAACCCATCTACAGGTTCTCCTTCTCTCCCAACCTCTCGCCTACCCCCTCCCCCTCCTCTCTCTAACAACCCACCTCGCCCTCCTAAGCACCAAACTCCCCAAACTGAAATCGACCGGCGAAGAGGACCCTTTCTTCGACGACGACTGGGCCGTCGCTGAATACCTTTACCCACGCATCACTGCCAAACCCACAAAACACACACCAACGGCGCAATCCCACCCCGTTCGCCCACCTGTCACCCTCCTAGTAATCTCCGTCGGCGAAAACATTATCTTCGACCCAAACCGTGAGGAAATCGCCGTTGCGGACGCCGTGCTCGCAATTTCCATTACTCGCACCGGTGACTCCGATACCCTGAAACTCCTCTCCATCCGCACTATCGACCCGCCCTCGCGCTTGACCAACCCTGGTATTCCTAACTCCGAGAATGTCAACATGCTCGGTGCGACGGCATCGGATGAAACTGCGCTGCTTAACCCGACCACTGGGGAGGATGAGATTTCCCGTGTTTGGAGGCCGCGGAGAGGTGGAGTGAAGAGGAGTGTTATTGCCCGGATGGTCAAGACTGTTCTTGGGAAGGGTGGTGTTGGAGAGGAAGTCCTTGAGGGACTTGAGGGTGTCGAGGTTCTTTGATTAAGGGTTTCTGTTGTATAAGTAGACATATCCCGAGATAGGTATTGCATATGTTTTGAGATGTTATCTCTGCAATTGGAGTTCCGAGATGGTGTTACAACATCTTCCTTTTTTTAGACATACATTTTCTTGTCTTTTGTATGCTTGTATTGAGCTGGAGTATCTTTCTATGGCGTATGCAAACAATCTTCATATATACTGTACACATGACTTGACCAGTATCGATCAATCAACATCAACATCGACATCAGAATGCCCAATCCAGGCAATCCAACCCCAGTACCGTGACCCGATGTCCACACCTACACATATCAAACCCCCAACAGGCACATCATATCATACAGCCTCCACCCACCACCCCCCCAAAGCGACAAGACCAAATAACCCAATCACCAAATCCCGAGCCACTTCTTAACTGGTCTCTTCTTCCCCTCCCAATCCACAAACTCCCCCTCACCAACCGCACCACCACCAGCTCCCTCAACAGCAACAGGACTCTGCACATCAACGTGTCCCTCCTTCCCACCCTCGACAGCACCACTCTTAACCTCCTCTTCTTCCAAGCCATGCGCAACGCGATAAGCCTTCCTCTTCTCAGCATCCTCAACCCGACGATGTCTCTGCTCGCGCACACGCATAGACTCATGCTGCACATGCATCCGCCAAACAGAGAACGCCCGTCCAATCGTGCTGAAGGGGCTTGTGAGGAGCTCGGACCAAGACGGAAGGAGGTGCGCGAAGGGCGAGGTTGCTTTGAAATTGGTCGTGAACGTGAATGTTGCTAGGGAGAAGAGAATGCTCTATACAAAGACGGGTGGTTAGCGAGTGCGATTGATTGCAGCTGAAATGTTGTTGGGCTGGTTGTGGTGGTAGTAGTAGTAGTAGTATTGTTGCGGGTGGGGATGTATATGTAGCGTGGGTGTTAGGTGGGTAGGTGGGTGAGTGGTGACATACCATTGCAATCCAGATATGGATCCATTTACTCGTCAGGAACTTGTGCATGACTGTGCCCTCTGGTGGGAACATGTTCGGGTACTGCTTTGTGTTCTGCTCCTCGATCTGTTTGGGGGTTGTGCGAGGTCCGTATTCGAATGGCTGGCCTGAGGGCGCGTTCTTCGAGGAGGGCGCTACATAGCGCTGGGGGTGTGAGGGCGGTCGGAATTTGTCTGGCTTCTCGAGGACGCGGGGTTTGGCGTTGGCGTTGACGTTGGTCTTTTTCAGGGCTGTGCGCGTTGTGCTGAAGCTTCGTTGCGGTTGCGCTTGGCGTTGAAGAGCGCGCAGCATCATGGCTGAGGGTGGACCTCGTGGGAGGAGGAAGGTTGGGATTGGGGTCGGCATTTTCCCTGGCGTTATGAGGCTGGTTGCTTGCTATACTCTTGTTGATGCGGAGTTGCAATTTTTGGAGATGGTCATGTGACTCGGGACGGCGGGTATTTTAGTCCGGAGTGGCCGCATGTGCTTCGATTTGAGCTGTCTGGTCAGGTGTTTCCGAGGTTGGTTTGATATCAATTGAGAGTTTAGTATGTTTCTTAGTCCAGTTTATGAGCATCTTCAGCGTTCGCAATGATGTTCTATACTTGAATCCATAACTACGTCGTTACGGTTAAATTCACTTCGGACTTCACTCGGCATCATACTATCTCTTCTTACGGATCCACATGCGGATCAGCTGGGGCGAATGAAAGAAGACTCATTTCGAAGCCACGGGGAACCGGCAGCCATTTATCGGAAGAAGGGATATGACCACGTCGTCCCCGGCACATGAAAGGGACGGGCAGGTGATTGAAAGAATATCTCGGGCTTTGCACTTTGGAAGGGCAGTATGCAGCTATGTATAGTATGCCGGAGCTCTAGTTCGGAACCCGCCAGGCCAGGCTGGTGATGAAGAATGAGATCATGAGGCAAAACAGACAGTATCAAAAGAGTCATAACCGCCACAATCCATCTAATCCCAACAAGAACAAGACACCAAGACAGCAGAGTATCCGGGGGGGCAGAGAAGAAAGCAAATACACCGAACTTCCCGGTTGCGCCCGTCGGACCTGAATAATCTTGACGCTGATTGGCTCCTGCCCGGATTACGAGAGTGGCCGGGCTACATAAGGGAAAAACTTGCTCTCTCCCTTTCCACATTTTCCTTTCAAACTTGTACAACTATTAATCTACGATTTATCTTCTTAATTCTTCAAAATGCCTCCCAAGAACGACTCCTTCGCTCCCGGTAAGACTATTCTCCAATTCCACGCCATTGAGTGCAGGTGAAGGTCGAGTTGAGTTGCGCGAGGAAAAGTGACGGTGTTCTGGGCACGATGTGGTTTCCTCACTGGGGATGTTGTCGACATCTACAATCAGTCTGATCTAGTCATGCGCCTGATCGACCGTCCTTCTTCTTCTCGCAAGCTCTCACATCGCCTTCACCTCAACCTTTGCATCCATCCCCTGCCATTCAACATGACTATCACGTTCGACACTTTCTGCGTCCACTCCATGATGGCGGTCTCCGCTGTCCTGGACCGCAAGAGAGAAGAAGCTCGAGAAGCCATCAACGCGCAAGCGATCGAGGCCGCCGAACCCCAGGCTAACGCGACTTCCACTTCAGGTGACGCCGCCAAGGGTGCTAAGCTCTTCCAGGTGAGTAACTTCGACTGAGACATATACATCGAACAACACTGACAGCTGTATTAGACCCGTTGCGCCCAGTGCCACACCGTCGAGGCTGGCGGTCCCCACAAGGTCGGCCCCAACCTGCACGGTCTCTTCGGTCGTAAGACCGGTTCTTCCGAGGGTTACGCCTACACCGACGCCAACAAGCAGGCCGGTGTTGAGTGGAACGAGGACACTCTCGTAAGTCGCCATCATCCAGAAAAAAAAAAGAAACAAACAAACAAAAAAAGAATTATATGTTCACTGGCTCACACTTCGCGTCCTACAGTTCAAGTACCTCGAGAACCCCAAGAAGTTCATTCCCGGAACCAAGATGGCCTTCGGTGGTCTCAAGAAGGGCAAGGAGCGCAACGACCTCATCACGTTAGTCCGACCCACCCCCAAAACATGAAGCTGAAACTAACCCCCTTTCCAGTCACCTCAAGGAGGCCTGCGCATAAATGATTTGACGACTTTTGACATGCTTTTATTCGGTTCACTGGCGTGGGCTGATTTCCGGGGACTCAACCGGACATGTATTGTATTATTATTACACCCACAATAGATTTTGATCTCCTCTTTGTTCCTCATATTGTCGATCCCTTAACAAACGCATTGCAAACGGCTCTCAACTCTGTGATGCGATGGTGTATTATGATTGGTTGATCATGTTTAGATGGATCGATTGGGCCAACATGGGCGGTCAGGCACGGCTGCACTTGAAGAGTACCTGGTGGGTACCTGGCAGGGCAGGCAGGGATCCACTATCAACAATGTACCTCCTTGGTAGATAGCAAGTACTGTGTACACGCCCCGAGTCTCAGCACATGACCGATGGATAGGCTGATTGGCCCAGCCTCCTCGACTCTACAAGTGAGGGGATCTCCCTCCTTCCTGCATTGCTCGAGGCGTTGCAATCCTAGTCTCATATAACCTTGATCGCATCTTCAGCGCAACGGTCTCAAGAACTTGTATCGCACTTACGCATCTATTGCATCGCATCACGTACCTTATCGCATCGGCGCATCGATTGCGCCAACTGTAACGACTGGCGCAGAACTGACCCATCCAGGCGCATTTACTGACTCTAGTGACCAGGGAATTCAACTGGTTCCCCAACTCGACTTTTACCAGGATCAATCTGCGCTCCGTCGCTGCGCAACAGCAGTGACTCTCTCACTGGGGCGCGACGCTCACGGTACGCCGTCCGCCATGCTGGACGAGCTAGATAACGTCTTCGACGATCATCCATCCCTGGATGCTTCGCTCGAAGACTTTGAGAACAATACCAATCCCCACCGGTCACCCATGTTTGGTCTTCCCTCCCAACATTCTGGATTCCGATCTGAAGAGTCTGACGGGGAAGACGGGGACCTTGAGGACCCAGCCCAGGAGCGCTGGTCGCCTCCAGGGTTCCAACATGAATACTCGCAGGGTAGTGGGTGGTACCGCCACCAGCCCTATCTGCGCAAAGGTAACCCCCAAACAGAGCGATTGCAGCTCAGACCCACAGTCGGGCTGAGCGCGTCGCCGTCGCAATCGCGCGAACCAAGCCCACAGTACGAGGATGCGCTCGAAGGACCTGCCAATGGGAAAGGTAGTGACACCACCGTCGCGGCTAATGTGCCTCTACCCCCCGGTGCGGATACACCTCTCAATGGAAGATCTCCCAGTCCGGGTCCGGGTCCGGGTCCGGCTCCCAGGCCAAATCGTACGCCTCGTCATAGTCCGGAGGACGATGAAACGGGCTTTGGAGCGGAGAATCTGAGCAACTGTAGGCCCTGTCTGATCTGGTTTCAGCTGCAGGCGCGGGTATACTAACATGTTCTTGGGAATGAAGACATTCGCTTCGCAGTACGTGCTGAAGTCCAACACCGAGAACCCATTGCCGCCTTGTTCGGCTGGGTGCGCTCCAAGTTTGAGCGCATGACAAGCTCCAAATCTAACACCACCCTCTCCATCGTCATGATCCTAGTCTCCCTTGCCTTCATGCGTGCTTTACTCCTCCCAGGCCTCCCGCAGTCGATTCCCGATCTCGTCAAGCTATCCGGCTTCGCGCGCTCCTTTGAACCATTGATATACTACTCGGAAAATGGCGTCCAGCAAATCGGAACGCTCCAAGAAACAGGTGTGGCAGTGTGGGATCTGAGCGAGTCAGTTCGTGGCACAAACATGACCAGCGCCCCGATAATTGTTCATCAACTCGACGAACTATCAGACTCCCTCAAAACCCTTTCACTAGAGCTGACCCGCTTCTTCGCCAACGTCGACTCGGACATCGACTCCATCCTCATAGTGATGGACTGGGCAAAACGCGAACTGGAAACCCTCTCAGCCCAACCCCCAAGCTCCCTCCCAACGATAGTCTTCGACAACATGCACAACATGCTCGCACGCCTTGGCGCCCTGGAACGCTCCCAACTTGAGAACGGCACCCCAACTTCTTCAACGGCAACACCCCTAGGCCACCTTGTGATGGCCGTTTTTGGACCAACATCCGCGCAACGAACTCGCACAACCCTAACCCGAACATTCACCGAGTTTCTCTCCGTCCTAGAAGAATCAATCAACAGCGAACTCTCCCACTCAACAGCTCTCTTCGCCCTGTTTGAATCAATCGATCGCCAATTTCTCAACCTCCAGCGAACAGTCGTCAGAGAATCGGACGCCCAGGAACGCGCAGAGGGCGAAATGCTCTCCTCCCTCTGGACTCGCGTTCTCGGCCCTGACGCCTCAGTCGTGCGCAAATACGAAAAAAACAAGAAACTCCTCGCAAACGTGCGCAGTCGCACCGTCGCCAACAAACATCTCCTTGTCGATCACCGTGGTCGGCTCCTCACGCTGAAGGTTAATCTTGAAACCCTTCGACGGAAACTAGTCAGTCCACTCGTACGGCGAAACGACTCCGTCAGTTTCGTGGGATCCGTTGATGGCAGCAATGGAGCGGGGAATTCAGGGAGTGCGGGACGCATGCTCGGGCCCGTTGAAGCTGTGATTGATGGGCAGATTCGCGGGCTTGAGGGAACATATGATTATTTGCGCTCTGTGCGCGAACGCCAGAAGGCAAAACTTATGGAGATGGTTTATGGGGCTGGGAGGAAACCTTCTCAGTCGCTCATTGATGGACTGGATGGGATTGAGGATGGGGAGTGAGCAATGCACACACGTACGTGTATGTGACTGTATGAGATGTCTTTCGCTGTCTCTTTCTTGTTTTGTGTATTCTCATCCTCTCCTCTCCTCTCTGGTGGTTTCTCTCGGTCTGGCTCCTTGTCTCTCTTTATATCTGGCGTTTCGGGCATGAATATGGGCGTATGTCACATGGCGTCCGCGGCGCATGTTCAGCATGCGGTGGGAATGGGATTGGAAATGGGAATTGGGTGTGGTAGCAACCTGGCTGAGGTACAGGACGTGGTTTTTATGCCCTGTTCAACCTCTGTCTGTTTTTCATTTCACTCTTGATGCTTTTTGTGTTCTTATTGTGGTGTGATGGAATAGGAATGGATGGATTGCAAGGGAAAAGGGATAGATACATGGCGCTAGCTGGTCTGATTTGATATGACTATGACTATGACTCTTCTTCTTTTCCGATGTTTGTCCTGATCCATCGATTGCATGTTTCTAATCTACAATCATGGGTTATTCTCGGCTGCCTGTTGGTAATTTGAGGATTTTGTGTCCGATTGTTAGGGCTAAATGTAAAATAGAGTTAGAACAACTTTGACAATCTAGTCAGCCAGGCGAACTGGCAGTGGGTTTTCATGTAAATCCTAATTGATTTCGTTCTCAGCCGAGAGTCAATAAAACCTGATCGACGTTTATAATCAAATTCATATCGGCGAAAGTCCGAGCCAGCCCAGGACTGCTCCAGACTGTAGAATCAAGTCCCAGCTTACTAAAGCTTCTACATCGTAGGGTAACAACACCCACAAGCCGTGTTTCCAGATAGTATCTTTGTGTGGAAATTCACTCCATCGAATCATTCATATAAAAGTATACCAGGATCGGTCCGAGTCCGAGAAAGATGTCTCCGATAGTGGGGGCGTGATGCATACCGATTCACGGAGCAAACCAACTCTCCATAGCTTCGCAGCTCCCTGTTCAAACCACGATTCTTTGTCCACATAGCAAAAGAGATGCGATTGATCAGCCAGCCAACCATGATGCCCACTGTCGCAGTACTTTTCCAAGCAATTAACCCCCCTATCATAAATGGAGTCCGCAAGCCGCGCAAACCAGGTGGTGAGAACCAATTTCCAACAAACTACCATTCCTACAAACAATCACACGGACACTAATCAAGTATACAGCCTACCAAGACTCAGGCGCAGACATCGCCTACACTCTCCACTCCAAAGGAATAAACATCCTCACGCCAACCCCAACCCCATCCCCAAAGAAGCACGAAGGCTGGTGTTTCCCAGACTCAGAAGAATGAATCCTTGCCGCAATAAACCAAGGCGCGACACACCTATGGGCAAACACAACTGTCTTCTCATCGCATCCTCTCCAAACATCATCTGCCCTAGACCGCCACGCCTCCAAAATCCAAGTAATAGGCCAACCACCAGGTCTAGTCGAGAAATTCGACGACAAGCTCTATCTCAACGACAAACTTCGCTCTTTGGGCGATACATTCACCTTACCAAAATCATGGGCAGTAAAAGCCACCCATAACGCCCACGATCTGCACACATTCATCCAGAAGAACATCCCAGCCTACCCCATCGTCGGGAAACCAGTTCGCGGCCGCGGAAGCCACGGCGTGAAAGTCTGCCACGACCCAGCCGAACTGACCGAGCATATCCAGTCGCTCTTTGACGAATCGCCCGTCGTCTTACTAGAGGAGTTTCTCGCTGGCGAGGAGGCTACCATTACGGTTATGCCTCCCTCCCCCGCAAACCCGCAGTATTGGAGTATGGCGCCAGTCATGAGATGCAACCACGATAATGGCATCGCGCCGTATAACGGGACAGTTGCTGTCACGGCCAATTCGCGCGTCATCTCGGCAGAGGAGTTGGCGCTTGATTCGGCTTATGGGGTTGTTATGAGGCAGTGTGAGCGTGTGGCTGCGTTGATTAGGGCTACTGCGCCGATTCGAATTGATATCCGGCGGTTTGGGGCGGGGGCTGGGGCGTTTGCTATTTTCGATGTGAATATGAAACCGGTTTGTATATTCCATGGATTGATACCCTGTGCTTGTTTCTGGACTGACAGGTCTTGTAGAATATGACGGGTCCGGGTCGTCCGGGTCGTGAGGATCAGGCTAGTTTGACTGCTATGGCTGCTACGGCTTCTGGGTGGGATTATGCGAGGTTGTTGCGAGAGATGATGGATGGGGCTTCTTCTTTGGAGGTGTTTCGTCAGTATCAGAGTCCTTTTTAGATTATGTCCACTTTTCGTATGGTGTTTACATTACTATCATGTATTAACGTTACAGATCTGCCAGACGAGTGAACTTAACGCAGAGCTTCTGGGCTGTATATACATTCCAAACTGACACAATTGTCCATTGGCAGTTCAGCAAAGCGAGATACTTATCTCGTACTCCAAGATTAGGCCATTTGGTCTCCACAACAACCTCAATCTGAGTCTTCCGTATCGAGAGCATGGTTAGCCTCGAATCAGCAATACCAGATAAAGGACCTTCATTGACATCTATATTGCGTGTATATAATGAGAAAACATAGTAGGAAATTTAAACCGCCATTTAGCAACGCTTCAACTTCACCATAAACCATCACCATGCATCCACTTCCATGCTCCCAATGATCACAGGAAACCAGGGCACTGATCAACTGAACAAGTCTACTGCACTGTCCTTTACAATGTTAGGACCCAGGGCCGCTGCTAGTTCGGCAACCATGCCCTTGATAGACATGGGTGAAGTGATGGTTGACTTTTCCCAGTCGACCAAATCCTACTTGAAATTAGCAAACAATGCCGCCTGATGAGAGAAATGAAGCTCTCTGTACATACCTCCAAGTGGACATAGTGCTGCTTGACAACCAACAACCATTGACCCAGGTTCATAGCCTCCACTTCTGGCGCGGTCATAACACCAGGCATGTGGACATCGAACAGAGTCATCTGCTCCTCATCTTCAAGCGGCTCAATCGCAGGTGGCGGGATTCCAGCTCGATCCCTCGACATGGAAACATACGAGCGAGAATTGAGTTTCTCGGTCAACTCGCCGTCAAGCGGGTCCCAGGTTTTGCTTTCAGGGTCTGTGTAACAAAGCAAAGAAGAGTCAGGTCTTGTGCTGAATCTCAAAGGTGGCACGGCAATGTTGAAGTCTCACATCGCCACACGGGGTGGAACCTACCAAGAATGTATTGGGGACGGAAGTTGGCCTTGTAGCGCATCTTCTGACAGGAATGAATGTAGTACCCTATGTCCGGATAATTAGAAACGTAACCTCCAGGCACCACGAACAGGCAATCGTTTCAGTTTACGGCTGCGACCTACCCATGTAATAGTATCGGTAGTCGTTCTCGAGCGAAAAGGCAATTTCTCGCATCGCGCTCAGCTTGCCGAATTCCCATTGCTCGTATGCCGGGTCGTAGCTGTGGTACGGACTGTCAGCTTATCATATATCACATACGAGGAGCTGTTAATTTGTTCAGCTTACAAGACGTAGACGGAGCTGAGGCCGCTTGGCACCAGGTCCAGAACTGCGACTGCAACGAGCTCGCCATCGAGACGATAACATTGATGCCAGGAGCCGAGCTTTTTCTCGGGGCTGCTCTGCGAGCTGGGCGATCGCTGAAGGCCCGAGCAGAGGAAACGCTGAAAGTCCTTCGGCTTCCAGTGGGATACATCCTCTTTATGGATGGCCGTCTGGTACTTGCGGAACAGCTCAAACTTGGCCTGCGACACCGAGTCGCCTTCGACGTTGACTTCAAACCGATGTGCTGGTTCCAGTGGCCGTTTGGTCGCAGGATCAACAGGCCGCTTGACATAGCCGTACTCCGACTCGTGGACCGCAGTCACCACGTCGAAGTTGCATTTGCGGTGCTTTTTCTCCCTAGTCCCTTGTCAGCAGAATTCCAAGGCCAATGAACCGTGAATGTGGCCTACTCGCGAGTGCGCGGGCAGAGCCGGGCCGCCTTGCGCATATACTCCGGGCCCAAGATGAATTTGTTCCATCGGTTGATTGCCTTGCGCTGATCGCGGCGGGGCCGATATTCGGATGCCTCCAGCCTCAGCGTGTAATGGGGACAACATGACCGCTGCAGGTTCTGCTTGTAATAGAGAGACCCCGATCTGTGGATCTGTGTCAGCGTGGGTTACAGGTCATCTGCTATCAACGGCTGTCATCTATTGTGGGAGTCATACCTTCTCCAGCCGCCATTGACCAATTCCTCATAATGGTGCGGGCGTACGGACGTGGAACTGGTGTAGTACGATGCACCTGTTACGTGTCAGCTATGGGGGAAAAAATAACGAGGCCATGGGGGCACCGTACTTCCATTGCTGGACTTGCAGTAACCACACGAGTTTCTTTGATAACCTGCATGGGCATTAGTATGATATACGGTAAGTCCCTGGACCAGTGGAAGCGCCACGGGGTAACGGAGCTCTGTCTCAGTGGTTCCCTGCAGCGAAGTGGGACTGACCTAGTGGGCGGAATAGCGACAGCTCTTGCGCGCGTTCGGCGTCAACTGGTTGCATCTCGGACTTTGGCCCCTTTGGTGGCGATGGAAGATTGAGAGATGAGAGAGAAGTTGGGAGTGGGGGAGTCAATACGATGGAGGGGGGAGGGGGGGATTCCTATACGTTCTACTGTATACGGCGGTAAGGGGCTGTACAATCTACGTCTGCAGGTGGGATCAGTTATGGCTTTTTCTAGTTCTGAGGGTTTCTAGTTCTACTGTCCGTTGGAATTCTACCGGGGTCATGATCGCTATGGTCTGATCGGCCGATCTATACTCTCTGGTCGTCTTCGGGTTCGGTACCAAGCCGGAGTTAGGGTCTCTGCCCACACAGAGGGCGTTTGGCGCAGACCAGTCCTGACCTGAGACCCGATCTGAGAGAGTTTGGAGAGGGCAAAGGGCAAAAGTCGACGCATTTGGGATAGAGTCACATGACCCTATATGTAGTCTCGCGACGAGGAGAGAGAAGTAGTTTGAGTGATAGTCATAGGAATGGAAAGTGAAGCAGAAACCGAAACCGAAATAGAAACATCTTCATAGCATCCTTGCAAGTCAGAGAAGCGCCTCTGCATAGTATAGAAGCGTAATGTAAGGCCATGTCATTGTACCCGGACTGCGCCGCCGGTGCCCCTCTTCCCTTTTTCCATTCTCCAATGCTCTAATATTTTCCTGGAAACCATGCCTCATACTTCTTTCCATTCTTGTCCCCCGGGAATGATTGGGAAGACCTGATTCCTTTCTCTGTCTCAATATCCGAAGGGGAAAAAAATTTCCCTTCCCGACCGCCTCCCTTCCCCCTACAAACTCTCTCACTCTCCCCCCAAGCTCAGAGGGAGCTCGAGAGGTTCAGGACCAATTTCACTTCGAAATCAGACAGGAGTCCTGCCGCTCTTTTTTGACCTGCTTCTCTTTTTTTTTTTTTTTTTTTTTCTGGTGACCTTCACCGCGACTGCTCGTTCGGCGGTCTTCATTCTCAATTGAGTCACCACAGCACATTCAACACAATGGCACAAATACGCTCGATGGAAGCCCGCGTTGGGCGGATCAACCAACGTGAGTATTCAGCTGGTGGCTCTTGCGGGCACGTGGGGCGAGATCGGCCTGCCCCTTACGTCTCTGTGACTCTAACGGCGTGATAGGCTACGGATCGAAAGGCGAGCGACTGGTAGCTGGCGTGGTCCCCATTTCCGCCGACAAGACCAAAGTCCTCATGATTCAATCCGCAGGACCCGGAGGCTGGGTGCTCCCCAAGGGGGGATGGGAGCTGGATGAAAAAACCGCCGAGCAGGCCGCGTGCCGCGAGGCCTGGGAAGAGGCCGGCGTGATATGCATCGTGAGCCGTGATCTGGGACTCATCCCGGACATGAGGCCCTCCGGCCTGCTCACGGCGCAAGCGCCCAAAGCGTCATACCAATTCTTTGAAGTCACCGTGGAGCGTGAAGAAGCCGAGTGGCCCGAGATGCACAAGCGCAAACGGCAATGGGTGCCATACTCAACGGCGGCGACAGCGCTCGCCAACCGACCCGAGTTATTGGAGGCGTTGAATCGCAGCTCCTTGAAGCGGTAGCCCTGCGTGCACCAACAATTCTCTCTACTCTCCGACTCTCCGACTCTCCCCTCCTCCAATCTTCTATCTTCCGTGCATCGGAGAGAATTGCCTCCACCTTTGATGACTCGACATGAACTCCAAAAATTACGGTGGCTTCGTCGCTTCTGCTATTGGCTTTGTCTCCTTTAGGCTACTTTTGCATCTTTGATGGGCTGCTGCTACCCGTCTGTTTCATTCGCGACTTGATTTGTGCTTTTTGCTTTTCACCTTGATAGACACCCACAGGAGGGCTCAATAGCCAGTGGCTCCTTGCTGTCTCATTTGATATTGCTTAGTTAGTTGATGCCGGGAATGAGCTGAGATCACATTGTGCTTAGTTCGAGGCACAAATGTTGATGTTCAACGCAGCATCTGCAATCTCTACCAAATGTGAAGCACTTCTTCCACTCTCCGACCAGGAAAGTAACAAGGAAGCACAAGAAATTAAGATTCCACCAATTTTTAGGAGACAGCCGGTACTGGATAGCTATTCAAAGTACTACGTAGTGGTATACCCATGTCAGGCACTTGACTGCGTGTCCCGATTAGGAAAAGCGCAAAAAGCTGCCTCCGAGGAGCAAATCCGCGATCTCGTCCACTCCGGCTCCAACCACGCGCCCATCTTCCCTACCACAACACAGTTGGAATACTATCTCATTCTCTATTCATTTCAATTACATCCTTCAACCTTCGCTTGATCGACTTGACCCCCGCGCCAAGAACCCAGTTCGAACAAAGGTGGCAGCGACTCGCGCTGCCGCATACACACGATGGACTATGAGATGGACCTAGAGCCCACAGGGCCCCAAGTGACCGTTCGCGAGGTAGGAAAATCCATGGCCGAAATAAAAGAAGACCCTCACTGATCAACTCCAGGCCGAACCCCTCCGCGTGGACTTCAGACTCAGCTCCGTAGACCTTGCATTCGCCAACTCCCTCCGCCGCACAATCCTCGCCGAAGTGCCCACGCTGGCCCTGGACCTCATCGAAATCGAAAGCAACACCTCCGTCCTTCCTGATGAAATGCTTGCACACCGCCTGGGAATGGTCCCCCTCAACTCCAGCAACTGCGATGACCTGGACTACACACGAGACTGCGACTGTGAAGACCACTGTGTGCGCTGTAGCGTGACACTGTCCCTGCACGCCCGCTGTGGTAACGGAATCATGTCTGTCTACGCGCGTGACTTGATCGTCGTCGGCGAGCGTGTCAACGAGACAATTGGAAACCCGGTCCTGAATGACCCCGAGCAGAAGGGGCCGTTGATTTGCAAGCTGCGAAAGGGCCAGGAAATCAAGATGACTTGTCTCGCTAAGAAGGGAACCGCCAAGGAACATGCTAAGTGGGCGCCAACTGCTGCTGTGGGCTTTGAATATGATCCCAACAACAACCTCCGGCACGTGGATTACTGGTATGAGCAGGATGCCGCGAAAGAATGGTACGTATCTGATACAGATTAATTTTGGTGGGGGCATCTGGAAAGGATATTGCTGACATTTTATCAGGCCCGTTTCTGAGAATGCCGCATGGGAACCTGCGAATGGTCCTGACCAGCCATTCGACTACGATGCCGAACCAAACACCTACTACGTGGATGTGGAGAGCATCGGAATGCTCGAGCCAGACATGATCATCCAACAGGGCCTCATCGAGCTGCAGCGCAAGCTAGCACTCACAGTCTCCGTCCTCTCAGGCGAGGGCGAGGATGGCCACCCCGGAGGCATGGAAGATGCCGATATGATGGGCGCCAACGACCCTGATGCATACGAGCCTCCCGAAGGCATTGACGGTAACATGACCTCCTATGGAAATGGAGCTGCCAGTGCCTGGGGTGCGAGCGCGCAGACCCCATACGGTGCCACGCCCTATGGGCAGAGCGGCTATGGGTTCTGAGCGTTAGTCTAGAAAAAGAGAAAGCTCAAGCATGCAAGGAGTTATCATTTCTGGCGATTTGGAGGCGTACTGGTGTTTTTACATTCCCTGTCAGTTTTATGATCTATGGTCTTGGCAATAGCCGGTCCTTTAGTATGGGATTGCTCTGTTCATAATCTACAAAAGCCTTTCCTGGTTGGTCCGGTAGGCGCAAAATAGTGAATATTATCAGCTGCTATCTGCGAAGATATCTCGAGATTACCCGTTGGCGAGGCATGTCTTATATGTAACATCAAGCGCTACACGATATCATCTTAAGAAGTTCAGTCCGAGGGTTTCCAGTGGCCTTGATCATTGCTTATTATCACCTATCACGCAAACAGTCTAGCGTCATAGTTCATGCCATACTACACCACCATACCCGAAAAAAAGGCATGAAATCTGCCACGGGAACTACAGAAATCAGCAAAGGGAAAAAGAAATAGCAAAGCCCTCATCCCCAAACCTCCGTCCTAATCCGCGAGTTTTCACCATGGACCGCTAAAGCAGATACCTATGGATCTATAGCCAAGCCTTGACATTCCCTTCATCTATATTAAACACCAGATCTCCATCACAAATCCCGCTGTAGCACTATGCCTTTGCAATCATCAATACTAGATCACTGTCAGAGATGGAGTTGAAAGCGCCGCGGTTCACATCACCAGGGAAGTTTTGCAACTTCTCGTGGTGATTGCTACTGCATCCAGATCAGAACCACAAAACCATATAAGAAAACGGGGGCTACCTAGGTTTTAAATCATATCATTGATCTGGAGACTTGAATCAAAGTCGTTGGCTTCCTTGTGGGGTTGGCTAGGTTTAGTTTATGCACCTGTCATCAATACAGGTTTGGAAAACTATCGTCCAAGGTTTGGGATCTTGTCTAGTACTATCAATATGAGAATGTTGGTGCTAACTCTCATCAGATATCTTCAGTTGAATTTTGTTAGGCTGTGGAATCCCCGCCTGCTAATTGGGTGTACTAACATTGTGAGTAGTGTTGCTTCTGGGGTGGATCAACCTGGCCAGTGATTGTGCTTCTTGCGCGGTTACTTTTATTGTCTCTTTTGGAATAGGCTTTCCAGCGTATCATATATAGGGTTGGCACATGGAAATTAATGAACGCTGCCAAAGGCTAGATTGCAAGGTTTAATTAGCCCATGTTCAAGTAGAACCCCAACAAATGCCTCTTGATTGCTCGTGTCGAGAGTTTTATTACACCGTTTCACTTGATGGGAACTTGACAACGCCTGTAAATATAGAATAAGAGGCATTTGATAGAATAATGCAAAATATAGGCTTTCGGTCTCAGATTCGGTATGTTATGACGCATTAGTATACCTCACGACTAGCAACCAACTCAATAGCCAGGAATGTTTATTTCATCAACGGAGAGCCTCGGGCTGGTGAATAATCAAAAACCCACCCCGTGGGACTGCATAGCACATGTCGACGTACTATGATCATGGCCCAGTATAATCATGTGGGTAACTACTGTTGATCAACGCCTTTCCTGGCGTGTGACTTTGATAGAATAATCGTGAGCTACGAGAACCATCCGATGATATGCATTGCCATCGGAGAATCACAAACATCCCATAACAAGCTCTGGCATAGCTATATGCAATAAGTTATATTACAGGCCCGAGCATCCTACTCATTTCCTATTCCATTCCTCCCACAACTGATACCAAGACCGATTTGAAAAAACCCCCCCTCCATCTATCCACAATGCCTCTTTGGCAGATTTTCCACCCAACCGGCACCTACGAGGATCCAGCATCCAAGCTGGCCTTTTCCGAAGACATTACGAAAATGTACACGGCCGTCGGCCTCCCAGCATTCTACGTCGTCGTTCAATTCATCCCGCTTCCCAAGAGCGATGTCTTGGTCGGAGGAAAAGTAATGGCCGACAAGCCTTTTGTCCGCGTCGTCATTACACAAATCGCTATTCGGCTCCCTAATGAGGATGCGAGCTACAATAGAGTCACGGCGACCATTGACAAGATCTTGGGCCCTCATGTTGCTGAAAAGGGGTATGATTGGGAATATCATGTGGATGAAACAGAGAGGAGATTGTGGAAGATCAATGGGATGATTCCCCCGCCGTGGAAGAGTGAAGAAGAGAAGCTGTGGGTTGAGGAGAATAAGGCTGTTCCGTATGAAGGTGCATATTGAATGGCTGTTCCTGTGAACAATATTGTTGTGGCTTTTATGCAATTAAGAGATTATCTGGTGGAATGGTATAGATATTCATATTCGTGATCAATTGCATGCATCAATTGCATGCCATTCAGCGAGTCGAACAACATTATCTAACGTAGTTTTTATCAATTACGCTTAACATCAATCCAACTATCAATAGAGGCTAGTAATATAAAAGGAGGGTTTCAAATGATGTTGTATATCATGTCTCAATTAGCTACGGATTTCATCTGCGTCATCTCCGCTAGCGATATGCACTCCCTGGTCATCTCCTGCAAGGCTGACGCCAAGTCAAGGTTATTTTCAAGAGCTTTCGTGTCCAGCAACTGCTTGCTCAGATCAAAGAATGCATGCACAATTCCTTCAACGCCACTTTCCAGCTCATCTGCTCGCTTCTGCAGATCGTGGAGTGTGTCTTTTTCTCGATCGTGATGCGCTCTCTGTGCGTTGCGAAACTGTTCACGTCGTCTCTAGGCATTTTTAGCTTCAGGTTTTGATCGAGACTTCATGAACTCACCGTAAAAGTACGTGCCTTGTCTTTCAGTGGGGGTCGGCCGTCCTTGGCTATTTCCTGGCCTATTTTACGGTCACTCTCGTTTCGATCGGTCATGTTTGGGCGGAATTTTCGATCCCAAATTAGTGAAGGAGTCGGGGTATATGGCAATGGAGAAGATATTATTTAGTCCTTTATTGGCTTTATGAAGACAGTTCTCGTGGGTATGACCTGGGGTAAGGACGGCTTGTTCAAATAATCCTCTGTGCACCCACCTAGGCAGATAGAATAGATAGGTACGGCAGTCTATTAGTGCCATCGGCTCAAAAGGCTCTGTTTAAATGTTATGTCGGGGCCACATAGGTGCTGTATCAATGCTAATTGGATATCAACACTATGCATGGAACTGATGAAGTATCTGTTCAGTGCATTTCGCCCTGATTTGACCATTTTTTTCCTGTTGCTTAAAATTATGTTGGTTCTAAATCAGGCAGAAATTTTAAGAAAACAAATTCCAAGATAATTCATACATTATCCTGAAAAAAGACGGGTTCAGTCAGAGGTTGCTAAAGGGAGACAAGGACTTTTGAGCTCATGGCCAGAACAGTCGACTGTAAGTAAATGTTGACTAATCCATAATTCAGCGTCCAGTTACAGCCCTGGAGGGGTTGCCAACGAAGCTGTTTAGTTCATCCAAGCTCGTATTACAGAACCCTCAAACATACATTATTCTATTTTAAAAATGGCCAAGCAACCCAATGTCCTCTTGTTCGGTGCTGGCAGTATTGGTGCGGTTTACCTCCACCACCTCCTCCACGCCGGTTGCACTGTCACTGCAGTATGTCGCTCGAACTATACAGCAGTCCAAGAAAAGGGCTTCAGATTGCAGAGTAAGCGATATGGCGATGTGGAATATAAGCCAGACAGTCTCATCCGCTCTGCCGCCGAATGCCCTCCGGGCTGTTTTTACGACTATATTGTGGTGACCACCAAGTCACTTCCAGGAAGCAAGATCTCGACCATGGATATGATCCGACCTGCGGTGGGAAACCACGACGAAACAGCGATTGTGTTATGTCAAAATGGAATCGACATTGAGGATGAGGCCGCCCAAGCCTTTCCGAACAATCCAATCCTGAGCGGAGTCATTTACCTTCCTGCCACACAGACAAGTCAAGGAATCATCCACCATCCGGAGATGCTCGATCTTCTGGAATTGGGTACATTCCCTGCGAAGGCACCAGCCTCTCATAAGAAAGCTGCTGTCGACTTCGCTGAATTAATGATGAATGGAGGTGGAGATGTTAAAGTCCATGATGATATTCAGGTGGCCCGTTGGTCGAAATTGTTGCTGAATGCATCTTGGAATCCCATTTGTGCTCTGACACTCTGTACAGATGGTGACTTCCTACTTTCTTCATCTCCCTTTGCGCATGACCTTGTTTGGGGGCTGATGATGGAGATTGTGGAGCTGGCTCGCACAATTGGGATACCAGGAGTGGATGAGAAAACGGCCGAAGAGAAACTGATGATTGCCAAGAGAAGAGCTAGTACTGGGACGGGTCGAGAAATGAGCATGCTGCAGGATATCCGACAGGGAAGGCTGTTTGAGGTCGAGGCCATCATTGGAAATGCCCTACGTCTGGGTCAGAAATGGGGAGTCAAGATGCCGAGGTTGGAAACTGTTTATGCATTGGCAAAAGGGCGGTATGAAGCACTAGTTAAGGAGCAGATTGGCTAGTGTCAAGTAACATAACATAAAATAATAGAATCTTTAGAATTAGCGTGCTATTCAAACATACGACCACGGCTGCATCAGCTTCGCTCCGACTTTAGCATCATCTTCGCGATCACTGTTGCACCGCTTCAAGATACCCTTGACAGACTCCTGGGCCAAGTGCACGATTTCCATTTCTTTTTCACGTCCTCCAGCTGCCAACTGCCCATCTTTCACCAGGATGTCCCCGTTCACAACCGTCATATCAACATCACGACCAGTACATCCATGAACAACCGTAGTAACAGGATTAACTGCATGGCTGGAGAAATCATCACTCCAAGGCGCAGCTCCAAGTCCACCGCGTCCATACGGATCAACAACCACAAAATCCCCCTTTTTGCCTACCTCAAGACTCCCAATCTGATCTTCCAACCCTAGTGCCTTTGCTCCATTGATAGTAGCCATTTCCAACGCCACTTCGGCAGGTATGAGAGTTGCATCATGATTAACACCTTTATGCAGAATACCCGCTAAATGCATTTCTTGAAACATATCATAATGATTGCTGCAAGGCGCGCCATCTGTCCCGAGAGAGACATTGACAGGGACAGAATGAGACAACATGAGAGGGACAGGAGCAACGCCAGACGCAAGCTTCAGATTCGAAGTAGGGTTGTGCGCCACAGATGTTTGGGTCTCTGCTAGCAACGGGATGTCTACCTCGTTATCAAGATTCACCATATGAGCCAGGACAAGGCGATGAGATAAGATGTTCTCTTCGGTCGAGGTTTTGGTGAGCTGGGGACAGAGCTTTGCATCGCGAAGGAACTCCATCGCGCTGCAGCCGTAAGTATCGTTATAGATTATGCGATCCCGAGGTGCCTCTGCACAATGCATTGTGGCCGAAATTCCATTGTGAGAGCATGTTTCGCCGAGTTCACGGTAATGAGAGATTGATGTGCCTCGGGGTGTTCCTGCTGCTGCCCAGACATGAATCCTGCCGTCGTGGCTGTTGTGATGTTTTTTGTGTGAGCTTAGAAGCTCGGGTATAGACATGGCGAGGAGATCTCGGTCTCGCGGGTCGGTGATTGAGAGCTGACGATTTGTTTCGGTGAATTTGACTAGTTTGCCCTGTTTCAGTATGTGTGTTAGCAATGAGAGGTTCTTTGCGTTAAGCACGCTTCGCACATACAAGACAACCTCGGATACCCATCATACCTGCCGCAGCACAGACTTGATCAAAGCCAGCTCGGTAGGTCAGCATGGGATCAAGGAAACAGGTTGTGCCGGTCTTGAGCATCTCGGCCATGGTCAATCGTGCGGCGTTGAATCCATCTTTATCCTCGAAAACGGATTCTAAAGGCCAAATCGCATCGCAGAGCCAGTTGTGTAGTGGAAGATCTTCGGCTAACCCCCGAAGCACGGATTGAACGAGATGAGCGTGCGTGTTGATCAATCCTGGAATGATTATCTTTCCTCGACAATCAATTTCGCTAGTATAAGGTGGTAGGGGCTTGGTATACGGGCATTTCCCAACGGCGGTGATTTGGTCGCCTTCAACAAGGACGTAGCCATTGCGGATAATCTCTCGCTTTTGGTTGACTGTGATGATTGTCGCGCCATAGAATAGTTTGCCCGAGGCAAACACTGTGACTGTCATGATGACTTTCACCAAAACCAAATGAGGGAGCTGAAGTTCCGGGGAGTGTATTTATTCCCCAAGTTTCCCCAGATTCTCGGCCGACGCTAAGCAATCAGCGGCTTATCTCGCCGGCCGAGGAACGATACACCACTGGCACTTTGATATCAGGTAAAGATACTGTTATCATCGAGGTCTTGGTCTGGAGAAGCTATATATCATGATGGGGGACTATCCTGGCGCATTATGCTGGTCTACAGACATTCGAAACCTGCTTGTCCTGAACCATCATGGGCGATCAACGGCGATTTCCAGAGAAAGAAGATACGCATCTAGATTCAGACGACACGAGATCGCAAATAGTTGAAGTTTCGCCTGTCGCCGAAACCCGATGGCAGTACCTATATCGATATTTTACGACGAGAGAGGGATGGATCGGTGACTATGTACGAGGACTGTCCTATCCGTGACTACAAGCCCTAACGAGAAACGAACCTTCCAGGACTATGTGTATCTGGTGACGCCGAATATCTGGCCCTTGAATAAGAAGTACAAGGACTATGAGGCTCCATTTTACGGCTTAAACGACGAAGTCCCCATTCTCCTCACAATCATCCTGGGCCTTCAACATGCCTTGACCATGATTGGATCAGTGGTCTCGCCCCCTCTTGCTCTTGCAAGCGGTGCCTTCTATCTTTCTTCTGAACAAAGTCAGTACCTCGTCTCAGCGGCCTTCATCACAACCGGAATCGCAACAGCCATGCAGGTGACACGGGTTCATCTGACAAAAACACCCTTCTACATCGGCACTGGCCTTCTCTCAGTAGTCGGTCCGACATTCGATATCCTGGCTATTGCATTTAGTTATGCGGACATGCGTTATACGAATGGAACATGTCCCACCTCTGCTGATGGATCAAGACTTCCATGTCCGGATGCCTGGGGTGCCATGCTCGGTACTATTCTCTGCACTGTCTGGATTCAGATCTTGCTATCATTTGTTCCGCCGAAGACACTGAACAGGATATTCCCCAAGATTGTGACGGGTACACTTCTTCTTCTCGTCGGTGTTTACTTGATTTCCAGTGGAATGGAGAACTGGGGTGGCAGCTCGAATTGCAATGGTGGCAAGGGCTTTTATGCTCTCTGCCCTGATACTGCAGCTCCAAAACCACTGCTATGGTAAGTCCATACAGTCTCGGCTTTCGGCAAGACGAATACTGATTTATGCATCTAGGGGACATCCCAAACTCATCGGTCTCGGGTTCAGTGTTTTCGTAACGATTATTATTGTCGAGCTTTTCGGGTCACCGTTAATGCGCTCTGCATCTGTGGTCTTTGGATTGGCAGTTGGATGTGCGATATCCGGTGCCACTGGGTATTGGTCACACACTAATATCGACGCCGCCCCAGTCGCGACGTTCCTCTGGGTTCATACTTTCAAGCTGTCCGTGGATGGAGCATTGGTGTTACCTCTTCTCATTCTCTTCATTTGCGAGGCTGTCAGTTGCATGCCGGATATTCTGGCCACTGCCGAGATCTCAGGAGTGGAGATTGATGGCGTCGAGTTCAATAGCCGTATCCAAGGTGGCATTCTCTGTGATGGTATTGGTAGTTTGATCAGTGCTTTGGGGACGGGCTTGCCGATGGTCAGCCAGGCTGGAAACAATGGTGTTATCTCTCTGACTGGATGTGCTGTAAGTTCTCTTCGTTTCTTGGGCTGGGAGTGGTGATGCTAACGCGATACCAAATAGAGTCGGAGAGCAGGATGGTGCGCTTCAGGTTTCCTCATCCTCATGGGAATCTTCGGCAAATTTGGCGCTGTGTTTGGCTCTATGCCTCCGTCTGTCCTTGGAGGCATGCAAGTTTTCCTCTACAGCACGATCGTCGTTGCGGGTATCAAGGTTCTCAGTCTGGTTGAGTTTACGAGACGCAATCGTTTCATTCTCACCACTGCGCTTGGTATTGGATTCATCGATATTGTGTCGCCCAGCTGGTTTGCCCAGATCTTGGATTACAGTGGCTCGAATGTGCGACTACAGGGCTTTGAACAGGGTATCAATTTGATGGTTGAGACTCCGTTTATCATTGCTGCTGTTGTTGGAGTTTTTATGAACTTGGTGCTGCCCTATGATGGGAATCAGAAGATTGATAGGCGTGAGGGAAGACCTGCACTGCCTACTTGACTGTTTGGCTTCTGGTATGATTTAATTTAATTGACTAATAGTTTTATACGAATGCAGTTCAGCTTCATGCAGATTTGTATATGATCGCTTTGGAATTTAGTGGCGCTCAAGGCCAATAGAATGCCCAGAATGCTTGTATAAAGACAAAGCCCTTCGGGAGGCGCGCTGTCAGAACCACCTAATCACATCTAACCACTACTTCACAGAAACACTCTAGAAGACTCGCACTGATCGTTAAAAGGAGGCGTTTCGCGAAGCCCTTAGGTCACGCTTTGATGTTGATACACTATCAACAGAGCCTCTGTTACGCTCTGTTAATCTCCAAGGGCTTTTCAATACACTTCTTCAGATAACAGTACTAGATATGACACGCTTTGCTTACGAGGAAGCATTAGATTGCATGGTTGCCTATTACAAGGTTTGCCATACCAGCCGCATAACTCAACTGTTTGATTGACCAGTGAAATATCGAAAATAGGTTGCGCTGAAGCGTTTTGTTGACGACATTGCGACTCAGGCGGTTAAAGTCAAGCTTCTGGGCGCATTTCCCACACTCTTTACCCCCATGTCTGTATTTGGGATGTCTAAAGACTTGGTCACTCAAATAGCAGGGGAATCTGACGAGAGCCGGTGTCTTCGACAGCAGCTGAACAAGAAATCATGGATCCTCACGACGGGGTCAGGTACGTGCAGACGTTTCATTAGCATTAGAGGCCTGGGTAATAGAACTGAATCCCTACATATATGCTTGTACTAATTTATCCTTAGATTCGAACAATGAGATGCGATCTAGGTTACCAGCAAGTCTTGTTATATCGTATTATGGCTCTTGTTGCTCGATCGAACCCCATGAAGAAGCTGATGCGATTGAAATCAAAACAAACAACGCCGCTTCCAGATCATCTAGCCCAGATTTACCAGAGCAAACTACGATAGATGATTGCGTGTCGGATTATATTACAGGGACGGTGGAGTTGCCGCTAGCCCCTACTGTAACAAATGTTGCCAGGAAGAAGAAAAGGGGGAGAGCTTTCCACAAAACTCGAGCCCCTATCGAACCCGCTGGTGATACTTCCGTTGAGTAAGTGCATTTCTAAGAAACTGCACAGTGAGGGTGGTTCGGGCGTATTCTTGTTTTGCACCAGAATGGCTTTTCTGTTCTTCTATTTTTTAGACCATAGTATCGTGTAGGATCCGCGTATAATATATCTCATAGTTCGGTCATTGGCTTTGATCTTTTTTTATTTGTTATCGTGTCTTTTCATTGTCTCGTTAGAAGATTCATACTATCGCCTAGGTATCTAATATCAAACGGTATACATAATCAATCGAATGTTACTTCATTCTATTTTTTTGCCTACGCCCTACGCGCTACTAGGTGTCGGTGTTTTTGCCACTACTCTCGAACCGTCTGCACAGATAGACTCTATCGTACACTCCTATAATTTGGAATTTCCCCTTTCTATGTACTACTATCTATTCACTATGAATATCTTTTATCTTATCTCTCTACTAATCGAAGCCACGCCACTGACCCCTTTGCCCACATGGGCCGCAATAGGTACCGGCTTAGAGTGTAATTACCCCGCCGAGGTCTTATATGTGTTCGAATTCTACGTATGGGTGCAACATATTATGAGAGAAGATGGCTTCAATGTAGGTATCTGTGTAGCGGAGAGGCGAGAAAAGCTACTACCGAGATGACATACATGAAGACATAAGCCTTCGAGTCTAGAGTCATTAATCTTCGTCATCGGTCAATCTTCTAATCAAACTAATGGAAAGGGCCTTGGTCAGCAACCCGAGACTTATCAAGCCATTAAGTGCTGTTCCAATCCACCCAAATGCCATCGCTGCAGGTCCAACATGGCCGGTGATTTGGCCGTAGCTCAATTTTTCTGCCATATCCGCTGCTGCTGCTGAGTTGATATGCTGCCATAGAATGGATATGAAACTAAATATAAACCCTATGACCGAAGCCCACAAGGCAGCTTGTAATACTTTCCACGAAGGGAAAGGCCTGACTTCAATGTCATCACCATAGTCATCGCTATCCTCGTGCCACCCAGGAAATGTTCCGAGCAACAGGAAGCAAATAGCAGATAGGGCAGCCACAATAAATCTGACATTGGGGGAATCAATTAGCGACTTTGAATGATTTGATCTCAAATATATGAGAAAGAGCTCGAAAACTAACAGCAGTCCGTCAAACACAATATTCTCCTTGAAGCTGTTGGCGATATAAATCAAATTTAGTGGATCATGAGTGGCATTCGTTGAACGGCCCGAGAACTTCACGATATTCGCTAAGCTTTTTGCACTCGTCGAACAAATCCACTGCCCATCCTGAGGCATAATGCAGAGACCCATATATCCTGCTCGGACTTGGAGATTTGGCGGATCGCCACTCCCCGTCACGTTTTGGACTGCATGGGCGATTCTTGTGCTCACTATAGTTTCATCTGAAATCATCAGCGAGTCGAGATTTCTGTATTCTAATGACAGCAAGTACACATGGCTAAGCCTGCTGGAGCTGCATCCTGCAAGTAAAAGTGCTATTAATGCGTGTGAGTTGGGTTATCCCGATAGAACTGGCGCGAGCATGTGGCAATCAATTTTTTACCTAAAAATAGGACTTCAACAGCCAGAGCAAACATAAAAACATGGTGGTATCCGATTGATGGAAGCCTCGCTGGAGATTTCACGTTAGCACGTTTGGGGGGTCTGACAACTCCGCTTCCTGTCAAGATACACTCACACCACATCCTTGACAATGTTTTAATGGGTCGTGGATCAAGCCTGGGGAGAATCTTGTGTCAGGTTCAATATGAGGCCACCCGAATAGAATAAGGGACCTCGGGATGGCTTTCGTGAGTGTAACAAAAAGCTTCTTAATAATTTCAGCTCAGCTGCGGGGTGATTGTGGAAGAACAAGCCACTAGTCGCGCTCAAGTTGAATGCAGCTGAGCCGGCATGAGTAGCCATTAGTATCCTCCGTGGCGCAGCTCATTATGCACTTCATGCGCCTTTTGAACTGAGCTTCGGCCAAGAGGCTTCGGCCTACCGCATCTTGCACTTGGTCACCTTTTGTTTTTCCTTTTCTTTGCAGGTCCGAGATACTTGGGATCGTGTCAAGTTGCCCAGGTGTGCCTGTCTCGGTGACATAGTATTTAAATGCAAGAGAGACCATTGACAGAGGATCAATGGCATGGCACTTGAATCCCGCATAACAGAAAGATCATAAATACTGAGTAGTCAATGCTCAATTGCGGCCTCTTTTGAGAGGCCATCTCCGCAAGGATAATACATTGACTGCTGAACATGGAAGATCTAGAAAAACTGGATACTCAAGTGCTCCTAACGATTGCGAAATTCGATATACTGTGATAGAAAGTCTGCGCTACTAAGGACTGCTAACGGAGAGCGAATGCCACCATGAAATAGCATCAGATGAGAACACAAGGAGATCACTAAGGATGGTGATGGATGAGACTACCTCGGGCACCCATTACACAGGCGGGGGTGGGCTGACTAAGTATCGAGGCCTGAAATGTCGACGGCGAGGCCTTGAAGTAATCACCTCGATACCACGGCTGAGGCTGAGAGCATAAAGCAGCAAAGCAGACAATGATAGGACTGCAAAACCGAGACTCGCGCCGACTTTTATATCAATAGCAAGAGAGCATGTCCACAACAAAGCCAGTGGAATGACTATCGTTGTAACCAATATACCTGCCCAACGGAGAGATTTTGTGAGCCATGGAGGCGCCCGAGACAGAGATTTTACGAGCCATCGAGGTATCCAAAAGAGAGACTTTGTGAACCATCGAGGCATCGAAAAGAGAGACTCTGTGAACCATCGAGGCATCAAAAAGAGAAACTTTACGAGCCATCGAGGGAATCGTGGCCAGAGCCTATCCATGTTCGAATCGTATTGTAGGACGAACACCACACCTAAAGGGACAATGGTTGCCAGTATAATCCCCAGGCTCACTGCAGTCCTGAGGCCAGAACTGAGGTTTTGGGTCCCAAGGATTCCAGTTGGTATCGCAATGACGACTCCAGTCAGCAATAAAAAACTGACCAAGAGTCCAAGTTGCATCTTAAGCCACCGAGTCGCTATCCAAGTCATACTGATCGCCCTTTTTCCAGATTTCGAATAGTTTGATATCAATGTGTCCACCATCCATTGAACGATTAGCCCCACGGAAAGCGATCGAGGTTTGACAGAAATTCCATTTTTCTCGGCATACTTTCTGATGTCGGCTTTCATGTCTATCTTCATTTGTGTGAGCCATTGGCTGCGCATGACAATTCGCATAGTGTATGAAAAACCTGTTGCTACAGCAGCCACAGCGAAGAAATAACTAGCAGGAACTGGATTGGAAAATGGTTCAATCTGCATCCCAAAGACAGTTGCTGCGAACGAGAGAGGAATGAATATGAAGGCCAGCTCAGTAAGTCTTGTCACTGCATGTGCTTCAGCAATGGATCTGTGACTATCAAGAAGCGCCATGTTGGATGTCAAAGAGACCGACGTGACTCGTAACCGCTCCAGCACTCGCTGGATTTCTTCCAAGAGAGTCTTCAGGTCTAATATTCCATTTGATACATTCTCTGGCCCGTCCTCATGAGCACCACTGGGGCCAATGTTTGCCACGAAAGCAACAAGGGGCTTTATAGATGCAGTGAACTCAGGGAGCTCTCGTTGTGCACGACTGATGATCTGGCGCCATAGGTACAGGCGATCTTCCATCCGTGTATCGTCTGTGATTTCAATATCTATTTCATCAAGAGTCTGGCACAATTGCTTGAGCAGGGTGAACATGTCCCGGCATATTATTTGTAGCAAGGGAAATGCCAGGCTAATGTGACCAGCGCCAGGCTTCAATGCATCGCAGAGCTCATCGCGCGTAGATCTGGTCCGGGTCAATGAAGCAAGGAATTCAAGGGTCGGTTCTTCATTTCGGAATATTTGGTCCAGGTTGACTGCCATTTCCTGGCGCGGGGCCATCTGCTCGATGATGCACCTGCGTACTGGATCCTTATCGACGTATTTAGGTTTTTCTCGTCGCTTAAATGGATTTGTCGATCCGTTTTTCTTCGTACGCCGTGACAGATCATCCTCGTTTGTCCTTGAAAAAATTGCACCGCCCTCTACAAGGTTGCCGTCATCCCCTGCATCGGGAAGTGGACGCGATGTTTCTTGAGAACGTTCTGGCTGATGTGGAGGTTCTTTCTTGATCAATCCCTGCTGCTCACTGATCCAAGGAAGGGGATCAAGGAGGACAATCACTTTAGTCTGCATTAGTACTAGCCTTCACGAATCACTTCAACATTGGAGAAGCTCACCAATCTCACAATCTTGATCGGGCAGGCTCCCTTTCCAGATGGAAACTTTCTCTTCCCAGCCACATTCTCTGCTCACTCGTATTGTTTTGGCAGGATCGGTCCATAGATCCCACTCCAAACGAAATATGTTCGTTTCGACTCTGGTGGTAAGTTTACCGCTGCGAGTGAAATGCTCTGTTCTGTCACGGAGCAGGTCGGGCATGTCGCGACTGGAGAAGTATGTAGGTGTCCTCCAAACGGGTCGGAACCACTTCATGCAGACATAGGACTTTCGCAGCGAGCCCGTTCTCCATGTCTTGGATAATGGCTGATTAAAGTTCGCTCCCGAATATCCGGAGTTTAGTAGGTGCTCTTCGAAGAATTCTGGATTTATTCCGAATCTTGTTGCAAGAATTTTGATTGTACTTTGAGAGAGGTCCTCCACTAAAATCAGCCTATGGCGTACATCGGTCCTATCTCCCAGCGACGGGAGTTCCCGGGCATCCTCAATAGGCTGTGAGTAGACAGATTCGTCGCAAAGGTAATCGTAGTAAATTATTGATGACCTATCATGGCGGGACACTGCCTGCAGATTCCCGTTTGCGATATGATCCAGGGCCTTGCTCGCATTTTGAATGATATCTTTATAAAGGAAGCGTGGGCATTTATTTTCCTCCTTCCTTCTCTTCCTCTCGGGCTGTTGGACCATTGGCAAATTATCAGATGAAGGCAGTCTAACAGCGGAGGGAATGAGAGGTGCGTCGAACATTTGCAGTGCGTACAATGAGCGCCCAATCTCATCTTCGCTTTCTCGGCCGCTTGCTTCTTGAGTTGCTGAATAACCAGATTCGGATTCCGGTAGGCTGGTAGCTTCGGGGATTCCCCCGTTTGCTCGAAGATCAAGGCGTAAAATGTCCTCCAACGAGCTCCTGGCGTTCAAATCAGGGCCAGTGAATCCTATATTCATCATGGCGTCTGTGCAACTCGACTCATTCTGATTGAGGGGTAAGTTCTAGTAACACTCTTCGTCTAGGGTGGAGCCTTCCTGGAATAACAGGAGTGGCCTACTATGTGCGAATATGGTTGATCTTCGGCCGTGTGTAAAGATGCAAAAAGAACGCAATATCAGTATATACTTAGAGATAAAGTAGAGAGTTCATGAAGGTGAGGCAAGAATGAGGGGCATTTTCTCCCCACATATACCCCCTGTAACGACATGTTTGGTACAATTTTCAGTGCCTTACGCGGATGGCATTCGCTTAGGCTGACGCTACTCTTTGTCTGATACTTACTTTTTGAATGATTCGAGCACCTGTAGATCTAATTAGGAAAAATTGGCTTTCCATGCTCTCTGGTCCTGAACCTCTGTAAGAAACAACATACTAAGATAAATTAGACAAATTGTTCCCTGGAGCTTGCAGACTTCAGCCAGAATAGAACTGATCCGTGTGTTTTTGCTCCTAGGAGGTAGTATTGCCACGCAATTTTGGAGCTGTTTATGATGCGTATATGTTTTTGATGGAGTATTTGAGCGTTCTAAAAATGGGTGAGACTTTTGTGAGGACCTACCTTTAACCAACACAATCCCTTCGCCTTAACAGGTAGCTCCTAGTCCCTATACTTCTTCGAATAGTGAATAACTCAAGAAGACGACCGCCGCTCCTAGTTCACAAACATAGTCTAGATCAACACAAACTGTGGTTACCATAACAGAGAAAATCCTAACGAAAACCTCAACTCTTATAGGTGACTATTAGGTGACTAAATAGCGACTATTGGGTAACTATTACGTATCTAATTAGGTAGCTATTAGGTGACTACCCGGGGAATATTAGTTACTATAGGAAACCTTCAGCGGAAACAGTTTTAATCCATGGAATAGGAAAATATACAGGGTTATGACTAGCTCAATAGAAATAGAAATATTTAAATTGGCTTATGATTTGCTTAGGTGACATTTAATCTCCACAGCTAAGCCTTGCTTGAGTGTGTACTGTATAGACTGCACAGATATAGATAGATAGACTGGCAGCCAGTTAAAGCGAAGTAAGCGGGGTTTAGAGAGATTATAGAGATGACATCACTCCATCCTTGTCAACAATAGTCTCACTCTCCTTCAGCTTCCTCATATCCCCATATTCCCATAATTCAAAGCATTCTGCCAAGACCAAGTCAAAGATCTACTGACAAAATGTCTCAAGAGACCTCCAAATTCAAGGACCTGCCACGCGCAGCTTCAGGGTCACTGGCATGTCCACACAATGTAAGCCCACCAGTCCGATTTATTACTTTTCCCATGAAGATGAGCCTAATAACTCAGGGCGAGACAATCCTCAAAGATGCTCGATTTAACAAAGGGTCGGCTTTCACCATGGAAGAGCGCAAAATCTTCAATTTACATGGATTGCTCCCGCCAAACATCCAAACACTCGAAGAGCAAGTCCAGCGTGCCTATGAACAGTATACTAGCCGGAATGATCCTCTAGCAAAGAATACATTTATGGCGAGTATGAAAGCGCAGAATGAAGTGTTGTACTACAAGGTTTGATTGACACTGCTACCCTACGTGATATTGTGTGACTGACTGGGGTTTTGTGCCCTGATTAGCTGTTGCAAACTCATCTCAAAGAGATGTTTAGCATTATCTATACCCCTACCGAGGGAGATGCAATCCAGAATTATTCTCGTCTGTTTAGAAAGCCGGAGGGGTGTTTCTTGAATATTAGAGATCAGGATAGTATCGATGAGTACTTGTCGAATTTCGGCAATGAAGAGGAAGTTGATTACATTGTTGTGAGCGATGGTGAGGAAGTAGGTTATTCATGATCAAATGATCCCGGCATATAATGCTAACTTATGACCTATAGATCTTAGGAATCGGAGATCAAGGCGTAGGCGCTATTCTTATTTCGGTTGCCAAGTTGGTTATTACTACGCTTTGTGCTGGGATTCATCCTTCTCGTCAACTTCCTGTTGTGCTAGATTGTGGAACTGATGTATGACCACTTCTTTCAGATATGATGATACGCGGACTGTGCTGATAAAATCTCAGAATGAGGACCTGCTTAATGATGACCTATATCTCGGTTTACGACAGCACCGAGTTAGAGGCAAGGAGTATGATGACTTTGTCAACAACTTTGTCACTGCTGCCCGCAAACGATTCCCCAAGGCATTTATCCACTTGTAAGCCCTACCTTTGGCATTCGGATCCTGCAAATATCGTTTCGTACAATACTAACAGGCCACAGTGAGGACTTCGGTCTGCAAAATGCCAGGAGGATACTGGATAAATTCCAGCCCCAAATACCTTGTTTCAATGATGATATCCAAGGAACCGGCTGTGTCACACTAGCCGCCATGATGGCTGCACTGCATGTCAGCAAAACCAAGATGGAAGATGTGCGCGTTGTAATTTTCGGCTCAGGAACAGCCGGCACAGGAATCGCAGATCAAATAGCAGAGACCATTTCAACAGAGACGCACAGGTCCAAATCAGATGCATCCAAGCAGATATGGTACACACCACGCGCTGGGTGATCTAATTCAAAGCTGAGATCATGCTAATCAGACTTTTCTATCCGATAGGTGCATCGACAAACCCGGAATCCTCGTCAAATCCCTCGGGGACAAATTGACACAAGCCCAAGAATCTTTCGCACGAGAAGACGAAGATTGGCCTACGGATGAAGGCCGTGACTTGCTTTCTGTGATTAAGAAAGTCAAGCCCCATGTCCTCATTGGAACATCGACAAAACCAAAGGCCTTCACCGAGGACGTTGTCAAAGAGATGGCCAAGCATGTCGAACGACCGACCATCTTCCCCCTCAGCAATCCAACACGCCTCCACGAAGCCGAGCCCAAGGACCTGTACGAGTGGACCGAAGGCCGTGCTCTGGTTGCCACAGGGAGTCCATTCCCTCCTGTTGAATACGGCGGTGTGAAATACGAGATTGGTGAGTTACTACCCAACAGCGAACCCTACAATCAATAAATTTGGACTAACAAGCCCATTCCCCGTTCCAGCGGAATGCAACAATTCAACATGTTTCCCAGGCATCGGCCTCGGAGCCGTCCTTTCCCGAAGCAGGCTTGTCTCAAAGAAGATGCTAGTGGCTGCTGTTAAAGCTCTCGGGGCGCGAGCCCCGGCCCTGAAAGATTCGAATGAACCTCTGCTTCCTGATGTGGAGGATGTGAGGGAGATTAGTGTTGATATCGCTGCTGCTGTGATCAAGTGCTCTGTGGATGAAGGGCTCGCCCAGGAAGAAGGTATCCCGACTGATGGTTCGGACTTGAGGGAGTGGATTCAGGTGCAGATGTGGGAAGCGGTTTACCGGCCTCTTGTTAGGGCTAGGAATGGGAATGGCAATTAGCTTGGGGTTGGGTTTCGATTTAGTGCTTGCTCCGTTTCTTTTTTGCTTCCATTGCCATTGTCATTGTCATTGCCGTTTGTTTGCCCTCTCTTAGCATCTTTTTAGTAAGATCGACAACCTCCATTAAGCTTATCTGAAGCATATTGAGTAATAATTGGATGGAGTTGAGGTTTTGTCAATGGGAAGCTGGTAGGAAGTTTGGCTTGGAAGAAACACTTCCTATATTATGATATTTGCTCTCTATGCAATACTGCGGTGTATAATGTCGTAAATTCCGTTGATCACATTATAGGGCTCTTATATCCTTTACTCTAATAAATGAAGACTTGGTCTATAAGTTACGTGTTACCCCGACAGAATCAGCTACAAAGAAGAAAATGTGATAATATGACATGCAGTATTAAGATCTCATGATATTTTATTGAAATCAAAAGCAAAACAAAAGCAAGCCGTGCCCAGAATCTGAAATGATGATATGCCCATGCTTTCCCAACGCCATCCCAATAGTAATAGCAAGCCACAAATAAGATGCGGATGTCTTTGTACGATAAAACAGAAACAGGTACCAAACCCCATCGCTAAAATAGATGCAAAAGTAACGCACGCGGTCTCGTCTCAAATCTCCTACTCCATAAGCTCAACCGGAGGACGGGAAGTCTTAGGAGGCATCTTCTTCAGAGACATCTCAATCGGACTCATATCAATGTCCATCTCATCCTCTTCCATATCCATATCCTCAACTGTGAACGTCATATCTTCCACCATGACCGCAGGCAGATTAGGGCTATCGCCGTGGTCTTCGGGGTGGTAGATGATGGTGCTGCTGCGACTGCGCTGCTGCGAGCCCATCATGGGCCAGCTGGGTGTGCGCTTGTCGGACGTGATAGAGACAGGGGTCGCAGGATCCGCGGGTGCGGCTGCGACTGCGGGCTGGCTTTGATCGGTCTTCAGCTGAGACAGGGCGTGGGCCAGGTCGGTGGCGTGGACTTCCCTGTTGGGCGGGTCCTCGTTGCGCATGACCCAGCCGTGGGGCGGGCTGGGAGGCGGGGAGATGAAGAACAGCTTGTCGACTTGCGGGGCTTCGAGGAGCTTCGGTCGGCCGCCGTCTAGGAGTGCAGTTGGTTCGCCGAAGTAGATGCGCGGGCGGACGTTGCGCTCGAGTAGGCGGTGTCCGTCGAGCATCTTGCGGATTTTGGTGGCGTCTTCGGTGTTGTGGAAGGAGCAGACGATGCGGCGCATGGATGGGAGCGGGGAGAAGGAGTTGAGAGGTGCCACTGATGTGATCAGGGCGCGGATTTCCTCCAGTGATGGAGGCTGGAAGAGGAGCAAGTCGTGGAGATCGGTGATCAGGAGTGTGTTTGAGGGCGGTGTTGGCTGTGAGAGCGGGGGGAGGTTGGCAACATCAAGAGATAACGATGGTCGCGAAGAGTGCGATGAGCGAGTGCTGAACGTGGAGGCCATGGTAGAAGCCATTGCAAGTGGAATGTGATGTTGGAAGTTGAGAGAGGGAGAAGGAGATGATAAAGGATCAAGATTGCCACCGGATAAGCGTGTAGAAGGCAGATGGCAAATGGCAGATGGCAAACGGCAAACGGCAAATAGAAAACTCTCTGATATGTTTTTCAATGGTTGAAGGCAAATCACTAACAGTCTGGATGTTCTTTCTTATTTATTTTCCCCCAACGCTGCGCCCCCAGCACTGCCTCCACGTTCCTGATCCACCGTTTTCGGCCATTCGGATATCGTCGCTTTGATGCTTCAGAGGATCTTCTTCAAAGCCGGCATGCGCCACATTCAGTCTCCCGCTGCGCCCCTTATTCGCCTGTTTCCCCCTAAATTATGTACGGTACATGTGTGTACAGTGTAGTTATGATTCTGCCTACGTTGTCAGGGCCACTATAGGCACCCCACAATTGATCCTGCGATGTCATATGGGGGACGTATGCAATTGGCGAAGCAAGGCAGCCCCTATTAGGAAAGTTATTTACAGAGCACAGAGTATACTCTAAGCCCAGGTTGAATGAGCTGTTGATCGGATTCGGTGGCTGTAAATGACACCCCTAATTGGCAATGCTTCCAACGAGACAAGTACGTACTGTATACCCCAATTGTCATGTTATGAACCAAGTCAATAGTATATGCATGCTATACTAGTGGTCTCTTGGCCAGGATATCCTGGCTTAGACGCCTCGTGCAGCTGGGTTTGATATTCATTGCCTCTTGATTGGACACCAGCCAAGCCTTACTTTGGGCTCTATTTCGCCTAGATCGGACAGATCAGCTGCAACAATAATTCGATATTCCATTGGCATAGCCACTTGGGACTAATTTCAGAGTCATAGTGTCTGAGTTCAAGATCCCATCTCAGAGATCTGTTTTTCTCCATAACCAATTTGCTTCATACGTGTACTCCGTAGGGCTGGACCCATATTTCCTCTTGGCCGAACTGCGCCTCATTAGTTGACTCTGAATTGAAGCTGCCTGGTTCATTGCATTCTCTAATTTTGGTATTGACTGTTTTGTTTGACGTCGAAGACTTGATCTTAGGAAGTGACCGTAAGTCATTCCTTCAAGGGATTGAGGGGCTCGAAGGCAAATCCTTCCATATCTTAGGCGAACTCCATGGGGGAACAAATATACCAATTGCTTCGTATTTAGCTGACCAGAAGACAGTCAACTTTTTTTAACATTCGGGCGCTATTACTATAGACCCTCCTGGAGCGGCTTATCCAACATCTTGCCACGAGCCTGAATGATATTCAAAAGCTCAGATCGCTGCTATGTTTCCACATGTTTGTCATGTCATTTTGGTTCGAGATTGGATGCTTTTGTGTCTGCTTTGCAGAACGCTATAGCCCAGTTTCCTTGTAATGGTGAGAGTCCAATAGATTCTGACCAGAAACATGGTCCCAAACTCTCCATGTATCCCTTTGAATTGAGTGGAGAGATACTTTTCCTTCTCTTATCTGAGTGAAGTTAAATTCAAAATGCTGGTACCAAGAGGGAAAAAGATGCGGTGACATCAATAATTCAAACATGATGCCCAATTTCACATCGTTAGCACAGAAGTTCATTTTGAGACTGCCCTTCCCTTATGATGAACTTTGCTTTGATATTTTCAAGGTTCTATGCTCAGACGCAACCACAAACTTGATTTATGTTTAGTCAAGAGTATTGCTCATTCACCTCTGGACTAGCAAAGTTTTCAGCAATGGGTCTCCATCAAGCAAGGGATAAGAAGTGCATCCCAACCCACGGTTATGCTTACTTTGGGTTCGGGGATGGACCGAGATATAGTAAGTACAGTATGTTCGAGTATCGTTGTAGGTCTGTAGTAAACTAAAGCTGAAGATACTGGTTAATTGGTAACTCTCTAATGTATGATCGAGCCATACGTCTAACCTTGGCATCCGTCACTCTACAGTAACTTAACTCCTTGCAGGAAGATGAGCCAATTCGAACTCATTTGTATGTGCATGTGCCCAATCTCATGCAATATCCTTTCTATCAGCATGTGTCAATACTTTGCATCTACTAGTATCTGCAGTGATAGTCAAATTTCCAATGAATATACAATTACGGTGTGGAATTCGCATTCTTCTTAAATATCGGCAATGAACTGTCAACTGTTGCATCTGACATTCCTAAGAAGAAAAAAATAAAACATAATAAACACGTCACTGCCTATCTTGTGTAATTTCCTGTTCAGATCAAACTACGAAGCTAGATATCGCAGCAATATCGGGCCCTCACCCCAAATGAGACATTGGTTACTGAGCCTAGGGGCGCTCCTCGCCAGTGGGGTATCAATCAACGCGAAATTCTGTCGCTGCCAGCCCAGCCAACCTTGTTGGCCAAATGAAGCAGCCTGGACTGCACTGAACACTTCCGTCAATGGTAATCTGGTTACAGTGAAGCCACTCGCATACCCTTGCCATGGCGCGAACTACAATGATTCCGAGTGTGCTGTTATAAAGGAGAATACACACAATTCAACCTACAGATCAGCTCAACCAGGTTCGAATTTTTCTATCTGATGCGCAGCTCTATTAGCTTTGGCATGTACCTGAACTGATATATCCAGGTGCCCTTCAATGGGAAAACTGGGAAACATGGCCTGAAGAAGACGAGCAATGCTACGTCGAGACCCTTCAGTCAACACCATGCAAACAAGGTCGTATCTCACTCTTCTCCATCATAGCCCAAACAGCAGAACATATTCAAGCGGCCGTCAAATTCGCAGCTCATCACAATATCAAGCTCGTTGTCAAGAACACCGGACACGACTTTCTTGGCCGGTCTTCTGCGCCGCATTCTCTACAGATTTTCACACATGGATTCAAAGATATCTCCATTGCTGATCAATTTCTCCCCAAGACATCCGACGGGACCGCCACATCGGAGAATATCAAGACCGTGACTCTGGGCGCCGGTGTTCAGCTGCACGAGATGTATGCGTATCTAGGCTCGAAGGGTCTGATGGTCACCGGAGGCGCCTCAAACACAGTCGGTGTCGCTGGGGGCTATATACAAGGAGGCGGGCATTCTTTTCTGGGCTCGCTGCACGGGATGGCAAGTGACAATGCGCTCGAGTTCCAGGTTGTTCTTGCAGATGTAAGATTTACCAAAACACATTTTCCAAGGGTACCGCCCGGGTTCTGTTGCTGACTCCATGCTAGGGCTCACTCGTATTTGCAAACTCCTATCAAAATGCCGATCTCTTCTATGCATTACGAGGCGGTGGTGGCGGGTCATTTGGCGTGGTTGTCAGCGTGACTGTCAAGGCCTATCCTGACTACCCTGTGGTAGTCGCGATCACGAACTACAGCACTACAGCCGCTGAGCCTTTCTGGAATGGTGTTGATGCCTTCCAGAAGCATATTGTGCGTCTCAGTGATCATGGTGGCTCGGGCTGGTATGGCATTATCCCCGATTCCAGCACGGAGGTCGCAGGACTGTCGACATTCTTAGTCTTCGATACATTCGTTAACCAAACAAACACCGAGTCCATCGGGGACCTCATGTCGCCAATTTACGCAGACTTGGAAAATGCTACCGGGATGGCACCGCTACATGATATTCTGGCATTTCCTTCTATGTCAAGTATGTACTTGACAACCCTGCTAGGCGACGATACGACCGGTCTCCAAATGCGGTTCGGGTCACGACTTGTATCGCGCTCCTTTTTTGAGTCAGGAGACTCCTCGAAGCTCACTCAGGGTCTCTCGGGTCTCACTTTTGGCCCGGGGGAAGCGGCTGTCGGCATTCTTGCTGGTGGTCAAGTTTCCAAAAATCGTCATATCGAGTCTGGGCTTAACCCTGCGTGGCGGGATACCATGGTTCATGTTATCATCGCGCGATATATGAGCACGAATATGACTTTTGAGCAGCAGGAAGCTGTGGCTTCCAATATCACGGAACATGATGTGCCTATGCTCAGATCGCTTGAGCCGGGGAAGATGGGTGCCTATGGGAATGAAGCTGATGCGGATGAATTGGAATTCCAGCAATCATTCTGGGGGAAGCCTATCCTCGTTTACTGGATATTAAGAAGGCGAGGGATCCGGATGATCTTTTTATTGCTAGGAAAGGCGTGGGGAGTGAGAGATGGGATGATGGTGGACTTTGCCGTGTTTCCTAGTCCGTGCTGCAGCTTTAGGCCTCAAAATACTCCTTTTGTTCCAAATTCACATTTCACTGTGCCTCGAGGCAGATTAATTTTGCCTCCGTCTTACGTTTACGGCGTAAAGACCAAAGCCCTCACCTCCACACTGATCCTGGGACAAACATCATCTGGCGCATTGGGCAATGCAAATGATGTATGAGGGGCATCTGAGACATGATAAGTATTCTGCCAGACTTCTTTTCTGTTTCTTCTTCCCACCTTTGCATGGAACTCGGAATAGAACATAGAACTTAGGATGAGGTTATCACTCACGTTTCACCATTCCCTCCTTTGAATCAAAACTCTTGAACAGCAGCACGTCTTCAACATTCTGCTTGCTCATATAATACCACTGACGAGTCTTTTTTGGCTCATACAACGGATATAAAAGTGATCCTGTGTAGTTACCGCGGATCATGTCGCTTGCGACTAGCTCGGATGGATCGATGTTTCGACCATCACACACAGTCATAGGATGGTCCTCGACAGGACCATTTAAGGGTCGCCACATGCTGAATCCCCCAAGTCAGTTGAGGCTTCATAGAATATTGCTCATAGAGCTTGTAATGGTGAATAGGGCAAGAAGGGGGCAATGGGGGTAGCTCTCACTTGATCATTTGCACTCGCCCAGAAAGAAGATGGCGGGACTCCTCGGGGAGATGGTTGCGAATTCTTTCAATCAGAGGGGTTCCAATGTCGTCCTTTGTGAGTAGCGTGTCTTGAATGCATCAATTTCATATCCATGAAGCACAAGAATTCGAAGATTGACTTTAGCATACCGATATGAACATACTTGGCAAAACTCAATAGATTCTGGTTTCTAGTTCGCCGCTCTTTTGCACTTTTTCTCTTTCGGACCTATTCATATTGACCGGGTCAGTACATGTCAACTCTCGGCGTTGCAAATGAAAGTTGCTCACTTTCCAATCAAAAATAAAGATTTGATCAACATCCTCGATCTCATTTCTCAAAATGGCTTCACATTCTGGCAGAAAGACATTTCGAATCTTTTCTGGGTCCCAGTAATCCTTTGGTGCCGTCGACCAGGGTGGAGGGTACCTTCGATACGCAAAGCCATTTGTCTCGAGGGTGAATTTCTGATCTTTGCTCAATCCTCTGACATCTCGGATAGTCTCAAAGTTGTCTCCTTTCTGGAAGATAAGGTTATGAGGCTTGTTTTGTTCGTTCTTCGTCTTTCTGCGACCGAATTGGGCAACTCGATATGGTCGAGTCTCCGTGTAGCTGTTTTGCCATTGTAGATATGTCAACTTTGTTTCAATATCTGTCGATGTACTACAAGACATTCAGACACGGCAGAAATAGTAGAGGGGGATATTGGAGCTGGGAGAGCCGAGGAACAGTAGCAAGTGATTGTAAACAAGAAAGAGGATCTCGCAACTCAATCCACCAACCACATAACACCATAAGAAAAAGATAAACGCATGAGTAGGAAAATACCATGTGGATTTGAATAATTTTATAGTATATTGTTGAGGAGCTGTTCGTTCTCTTGGACGCAATTTCCCCACGCTCATTTCGTAAGTATACAATGCCCTGTGCCAATGCCAAGCGATAATAATTACAAGACACGCGCTTAGCCTAAGTTTATGAGTCAGGCAGGAAGTCTAGCACCCTTATAGGAGCAGAAAGTGCAGAATGCAGGGCTCGGGGTCCCGATACGGAAGTTGACTCACCGCGCTAGGCCGAGTAGAGACCTAATAGGGCTAGTGAGGCTGGGGGTCCAGTGCAACAAGCAACTGCTTCATCAAAATGTAAATTTAGATGGCAGATGCAGATATAACAGAGGTTTCCCAAACTGGGATGTTGTCCAACTTCATTTTGTTTTCCTATGCAGTACGTGGATTGTCAGACTTGTTGCATATCAGAGTAGTAAGTTGAATGGAACCGCGTGATAGCTCTTTACAAGCCATATAGATTATTAGAATCTCTGAAGTCTAGTCTAATTTATCTTTATTATAAAATCAGACATATGGAGGCCATCCATGAGATAATATCAGAGGAGGATTCAAGACTAAGCACGGGGCAATGTTTGTATGAGAAGTTGCACAGCGTGATCTTAAATCCGTCCGGTGATCATTACTACTGGAGGTCTTGGGGAATTTATCTATCTTGATGGTATGTCAGTTGGCTAGTAAGCCACGGGGTATGGAAAAGCATTTTTGGATGTGGCGCATTTATGGCGACATAAGTCTTGTTTTCTACAGTCAAGTCATGTCTTAACCCTATTGAACATTGGCATACTCCGATTGAAGTAGACTTTCGAGCCCCATTGCCTATAAAAATGTTCTTGTATGCTGCATCTTACATCAATAATGTCCGTAGGCCAACTGCTTTAGAAATCTCAAATTGTGAAAATGGAACTATTTGGGCTGTCGTATGTAACGCAGAGGTAAATTGACAAAGCATAAGAAATCACGAAATTCCAAGTGATTATCGTAACTTATAGTCCAATCTCGATCTTCCATCCAACGTGACAAGTCAACTCCAGAGCCAGTGTGAATCAGCTGAACGCAGGGATGCAATACACAACATCTGGCCTGAATGGCGTGCCAGCCAATATGATGATTTCCAAGCAACTTCCGACCTTATCTTCTTTAAATAACACTGGCTGCCTATAAATCAACTTTTCTTAGAAATATCCCTATCGAATGTGGGATTGTTATTCTCTGCACCAACCCTCGCCATGGGCATCCAAGAAACACAACCGCTTCTCGGTCCAAGCCACTCCGATGCTCGTTCACAAAGTACACTCCAACCACAAGAAAATGCACATGAAGAACTCCCAACGCCATTCCCCGACACCCTACCAGGAGCGACCTACAGAAAAAGCCTCAACTGGTCAAGCGCATACATATTAGTCGTTTCCCGTGTCATCGGCAGCGGCATTTTCGCTACTCCAGGCTCGATCGTGAAATCTGCCGGGAGTATCGGACTAACACTTCTAGTATGGCTGGTCGGTACGATATTATCAGCTTGTGGTCTGGCAGTGTCGATGGAATTCGGCTGTATGCTACCACGGTCAGGAGGGGAAAAGGTAAAACTGCCGTTGATAACACGCAACTGCTGCATTGGCTAAATTGCTGTGTCTGTATATAGGTGTACCTTGAGTATACCTATCCCCGACCGCGGTTTCTTGCCTCGAGTCTCATAGCAACCCAGGCGGTGCTCTTGGGATTCACGGCGAGCAACTGTATCATTTTCTCCAAGTATATCTTCTTCGCACTGGGTCTTGTACCGACTGAGTCTCAGCATAAGGCGCTTGCGGTTGGCCTTTTAACGGTCATCACGGTGGTTCATGGTGGCTTCTTGAGAACTGGGATCTATATCCAGAATGTTCTGGGATGGGTGAAGATATTCCTTATTGGTGCCATGTCTTTGACGGGGATCTGGGTGGTATTTCTCCAATTCTTTGGAAATACTGATGACTTTTCTCCGGGAACCAAGTCTGGTAGTTCCTTTTCTTGGGATGCATTGTGGGAGGGTTCCAACTGGAGCTGGAGTGTGCTTTCGACAGCTTTGTTCAAAGTCTACTATTCCTATGCTGGTCTAAGCAACGTGAACAATGTTCTCAACGAAGTGCATGACCCAGTCGGTATAGTGAAGACCGTTTGTCCCACTGCTCTGCTGACAGCTGGGGCATTGTATACCTTGGCCAATCTTTCATACTTCCTCGTCATTCCCCTGGAAGAAATCAAAAACAGCGGCGAATTGGTGGGCGCATTGCTGTTTGAACGATTGTTTGGGGATCATATTGGAAAGATCTTCTTCCCGCTTGCCATCGCCATTTCAGCAGCTGGGAATGTGATGGTGGTGACATTCGCCTTGGTAGGCTTGGTCCCTCCTAGTCACAAGCTTCAGACTAACGTAGGCACAATAGGCGCGTGTGAACCAAGAGATAGCACGGCAAGGGTTCCTTCCCTGGCAAAATGTCCTTTCGTCAACAAGACCATTTGGCACTCCGCTCGGGGGACTGATTGTGCACTATATCCCCTCTGCCCTTGTCATAGCTCTCCCACCACAGGGCGACGTCTACAACTTTATCCTAGATTTGGAGGGTTATCCAGGACAGATTTTTGCACTGGCAGTTACCGTCGGTCTACTTATAGTTCGATATAGAGAGCCAGATCTGACACGGCCCTTTAAGGCTTGGTTACCGGCTGTCTGGCTCCGAGTTGCGGTTTGTTTGACTCTGTTAATAACGCCCTGGATCCCACCGCCTGATTGGCAAGGGGACGTTGATTTCTTCTATGCGACCTATGCAATTGTTGGGATTGGAATGTGAGTTTCGCATCATCGTATTTATCCATGGGGAAATCACTAATAAATCTAGTCTCCTTTTCGGGGTTCTCTATTGGTATGTCTGGACGGTGCTGCTGCCTCGGTTGGGGGGTTATGAACTCGAGGAAGAGAAGGAGATCATTGGTGATGGAACTAGCGTTGTCAAATTGGCGCGTGTATATGGTTAGTAATATGTATTGTCTCCGAGAATTCGAGAGGCTATCGGCTAGATGGGTTTCGCAGGGGTTCTGAGACTTGCATAATCTGCAATGCATTTGAAACACTTTATCAATTCTTGACTGTTGTCCCATAAACTGAGTCATAAACAAGGAAAGTCGGGCCCTCTGCGGCATCGATTCAGCCGATCCCCGAGGCCGCTTCGGGCTCTTCGCGGAGACTTTTGAATTACTATATACGCGGACCCTTTGGGGGCCAAATGTATTTATCATCGACAATACATAATATTTAAATGGTATTCAGCACTCTTTTGTAACCCAGAATCACTTGAACTTTGACATACAATCACACGATGTCTCTTCAATATGACCCAGCCTTCCAGAGAGCTGTCGCTCAAGTGTTGACAGCGAAAGGCAACGCTCCCAAGCCCGAGCCAGGCAATCCGCTTTCCATTCGAGCTATAGTGGAACCTGGCTTTTCTGAAATGATGGCGTTACTCCCTGAAGCGACCAATGTCAACAATGAAAAACACCAAATCCCAACATATGACGGACAAGCCATTACAGTATACCGGCACTGGAGAAAAGACCTCGACACCACGACACCACAGCCGGCAATTCTACAATTCCACGGTGGTGGATTGATCATGGGGAGCGCACAGATTTTCAAAAAGGCCCAGGATTTACTTGCTGAAAAGTCCGGCGTGCAAGTATTCTCAGTCGACTACAGACTGGCGCCGGAACATCCTTATCCGACACCAGCAGAAGACGGTTACTCGGCACTAGTCTGGTTGCAGGAGAATGCTGCACAATTCTCAGTCGATCCCAAGCGCATCATCACCCTTGGAGAGAGTGCAGGAGGAAACCTGGTCGCCGCTATCAACCTCATGGCGCGGGATCGTGGTCTGTCGCCTCCTATCGCAAAGCAGATGCTCATCTATCCCATGTTGGATGACCGTAACATTGCTCCGATTTCAGCCATGGAGGGTCTTCTTATTTGGTCTCATGAGGCAAACATCACTGCTTGGTCTGCTTACCTTGGTGATGATTATGGAACTGATCGCGTGTCAGAGTACGCTTCCCCAGCTCGTGCGGCGACGCTCAAGGGTCTTCCGCGCACATACCTGGAGGTTGGCACTTTGGACATGTTCCTTGAGGAGAACTTGACGTACGTCTCGCGGATTGCCAGGGAAAACATTGAAACGGAGCTTCATGTTTATCCGGCTATTCCTCATGGATATGATGTGTTTGCTCCTTTCAGTGAGGCATTGGAGAGAGCCATGGGGGATAGAATGCGGGCTATATCGACCGTATAAGGAACACTTTTCGTGAAAAGATGATTGTCCTTTCCAGATGATGACGTCCTGTGTCAGAAGTAAATGTATATATCACCATAGATGATCATATAGCTCAGGTTGGAGAAAGTGCATTGTATGCGTTTTAATCAAGGTTTCTATAAGAAAATACCCCTTTATATTGAACAATATGTGCATGCCTCCTTATTGACGCCCGACAATGTCGAGCTTCTATAGATCTAATAGAAAGTAGAAGAAGGTCCACTCGGCCCTGCGTTTTTCCTTAAGGCGGTCAGGTGATTCCGATGAATTTTGTCCGAGATCCCGAGTCACTGAATCTCTCCAGCTTCTCAATTCCACATCTCACTATTCATAATGTTCCAACGATCCATCTTCAGACAGGCCAAGGCCGCCCGCTCCATCATCTCCTCCTCTTCCCCCGCATCGCAGGCGTTGCGGCAGACAACACAATCGCGCGTGCCAGCTATTCGGGCATTCGCTCCCCAGACCATCCGCAGCTACTCCACAGAGAAGGAGGCATCGGAAGCTCAGAATGGCGAGACCGAGAACCCCGTCCAGAAGGAGCTTGATGAGAAGAACAAGGAAGTGCTTGACCTGAAGGTTAGTATTTCATCGGAGCTACAAGCCCTGCATCCCCAATCTAACCGTTCCATCTATAGGACAAGTACCTCCGCTCTGTCGCCGACTTCCGTAACCTCCAGGAGCGCACCAAGCGTGAGATGGATGGCGCCCGTAACTTCGCCATCCAGCGTTTCGCCAAGGACCTCCTTGACAGCATTGACAACTTTGACCGCGCGCTGCTGGCCGTGCCCGCGGACAAGCTCTCCGCTGCCAAGACTGAGGAGAACAAGGACTTCCTTGAGCTCGTCTCCGGTCTCAAGATGACCCAGCACATCCTTCTGAACACTCTCCAGAAGCACGGTCTCGAGCGCTTCGATCCCGCCGAAAAGGTCGACGGCAAGACCCAGAAGTTCGACCCTAACCTGCACGAGGCTACCTTCATGGCCAAGGCCGAAGGTCTCGATGACGGCGATGTCATGTTCGTCCAGAGCAAGGGCTTCACCCTTAACGGCCGCGTTCTGCGGGTGAGTACCACTTTTCTGCTCATGTTCAAGACCATTTTGACTGACTTGCTTTTCTTTACTAGGCTGCTAAGGTCGGTGTCGTCAAGAACGCCTAAATTTCTTCCGACATAACCTTATAATCTTTTTTACTTCTTTCCGCCTTTTTACCTCATCTTCCTTCTCTGTACCATATACCATACATCATGATTACGATAGGGTTTTGTACTCGGATACGGCTGGCTTTTGGACCCGGGAGAAATCTTTCCTTCCTTGTTATCTTTCTGCTAGTCTCTTGACTTCGGTTGTATGATACACTTTTGTTGCATGTGCCTGGAGGCGTCCGGATTGTCTCGTGTTGGTGGTCTCTTTTCACTTGTTTCGTGCAATCTGGGTCTCTACCCTCTGCTACCTCTCTCCTCCTCATCTGTACAATATACACCTTCGGAGGCGCCAAAAAAAGCCTCTGATGTTTTATGTCTCTTTCGATGGACTGCTTATAATGTAGCTATTTCCCAGTAAGGTAAGATGATTGAGCTCCTCAATCTATGCATGATAGCTTCGCGAGAATATCTGCAGGGCGTACGTACATCTTGTGAGAGGAATGCTATATTTTACAAATTCATCTATAGTAACAGTGAAGTACAAGATCCAACCCCAAATCACCTCAACTCAACACCAAGATCACCAACCAACTTCTCCCGCACCTTGAGATCAATCTCATTAGTCTCTTCGTTGGTCAAGGTCCTCTCCAAACTGCGATAATTGATGCGATAACACATGCTCTTCCGCGCAGTCTTAGGATGCGTGAACTCATCGATGAGAGTAACATCCTCAACAAGATCCCCACCGACCAACCTCACAACCTCCATTACATCATTCTCATGGAAAGGCACCGCGCCCCCAGCAGCACTGCTACCACCAGTCACAGCAGCACCAGGCAACCAGAAAGCAACATCCTTATAACAAGCCGGATGCTTAGAGAAAGGCTCAAAGCGCGCGATCTCCCCAGCCCGGAACTGAGACAGGAAGCGCTCATCGCGGGACCAGAAGAGCCGAATATCAGGAATGTTAAACAGCAGCATCGCAATCCGCTCAATACCAAGTCCAAACGCCCACCCAATCCGGTCCGGCACGTCCGAGTTAATCAATAGCTCCTGCTTGATAACTCCACATCCCAAGATCTCAAGCCAATCCCCTTGCCAAAAGACCTCCAGCTCCCACGACGGGCTCGTGAACGGGAAGTAAGCTTCCACCCAGCGCACCTTCAGCGGCTCAGTCTCGGCGTCGACACCGCTACTGGCCGCTGCGGCTTTACTCGCTTCCGTGAAGATCTTGATGACCATTCGCTCGAGCGAGCGCTTCAAGTGCGCCGCCACGGCTTCGACTTCCTCGGCACTGTGGTGCTCGCTCTGCAGGGGATTGCGCTGGTCGTGGATTGTGGGGTTAGGATCCTCGACGACAACATCGTGCTTGGGGATCTTCTCCACATCAGCCAGGATCCTAGCGGCTGTTTCTTTCGACGCTGCTAGTGGGTTGGTGGCTGGCCGTTTCCATAGCATTGCGCCCTCCATCTGGTGGAAGACGGGGTAGTGGCTGCGATCAATTGCGTCGCGACGGTAGACGTCTGCGATGACGGTGTACCCGACTTCTTCTGGGCGGGTCTTTTCATTGCGGGCAATTTGTTGGAAGTAGGCTTGTTGGTGGGCGCTTGTGTGCGTGCGCAGAACTGTCTTGTCGTTTACGTAGTATGTATCTGTGCGGCTGCGGCCTGGGTGGTCTGCTGGGAAACCGAGGACGTCAAAGTTGTGTTTTGTGGAGACGACTGGGTTCTTCTCTGAGTAGTTTCCGTAGCTGGGCGCTGGGAATTGGCTTTCAATTAGCTTGCGTGTTATGGCGAGTGGGTGGTTCTCGTCGAGGTAGAGGCGGCGCCCGACGTGGGAGAGAATTGTGTCGGGGGTGTTGGTCCATTGATCGGTTTTGTAGCTGTCGCCTTCGATCTTGAGGCTGGAGGGTTGCTTTGATGTTTGGGAAGCTGCGCTCTTTGGCTCATTGGTTTGCCGGGCTGGGGCTGAGCTCCAATTGCGGGTGAGGGTGATCGGCTTCAGCGGGAGGGATCGCGGAATGGCGGTTCGGGGTCGGGTTGAAGCAATTGACCAGCGGCCACTGCTGGCGCGCAGGGCTCGGCCTGTTGCGAATAACCGCATTTCTGGTGGTAAGTTCTGTGGTTGGTTGAGCCTGAAATAGTCGGCGGTTAACGTCTATCAAAACAGCTTCGGGTCGGGGAAATTAGTCCCCGAAGTACATTATCATATCTGATGCAGATCAATCTGCATCCCAGGCAGGAAATTCGGTGTGTGTATCAAATCATTACTGCATAGAGCAAATTGAGTACTCCACAGCTCTACATCTGTCTCTGTCTAGTCAATTACCAATGCATTCCTTGACTAATGCCCGTGGCGTGGCATTACACGCACTAAGTTAGGTATTTTGTCTACCTAATGTCAAATTGATCTGGCGGATTATCTTGAAATTCGAAACATCATATGGTATTAAACATTTGCCCTTTTGGTTAGACCTATATTATGCACCATATTTATTGCTTTTATGTGCTGTGTCTTGCCCCCAGCCAAGATACAGTATACACTCACACCCGCCCCGTATACTACGAATTTCTAATGCCAGGAACTTCAGCAAGCCCAATGTCAGTCCAATTTGAATAGCACATGTGTTTACTGTGGACACCGACACACGCTATACCCTGATCGTCTCACCTAAACTTTAGGGATTTGTGGATATTTATCACCCCTCTACACCCCTCCAGGGCTCGTCCCTCGGTTATCCAGCACCCGCGACAAACCGCAAATAAACCGCAATAAGACCGAAGAACGCCATAGCCGAGTAAAGTCCCCAGAGATCAAAGTAAGATGATAGTCGCAATTCTAGCCTCGGTGTCTATTTCAATCCCCGAGCAATAGACATCTACAGCCATCAGGGACCCAGCGTGGTATGTTCCTTAGAGGCTGTTCGGCGCAAAGGAAACACATAACCGACGCCGTGATTGGCGCAGCCGGGCCGAGTGGGTCATCGGGGGTCTGATTTGTCTCCGTGGAATTTGGCGAAATTACGTCAAAGTCCGAAAAAAAAGGGCAACTTCTTCCCCTTGTGTTTTCTTTCTTGTTTACAGTCACCATGGCAGACAGCGGCAAGATGATGGAGGCCCCTGCCCACCGGGTTGCGCCCGTTCAAACACCCTCAAAACCAAAGCAGCTGCATTACCCGTTTTGGTTCGGAGGTTCGGCGTCATGTTTTGCTGCAGCCGTGACACACCCGTTGGATCTGGGTACGTGGATTGACTCCTAGCTGATCGCGTTGGTATACTGACATTGTTTCTAGTCAAGGTACGCTGCGGCCATTCATCCGAGACGATTTGGTCTTTTGTGGCCACCCGGGATTTCGAGCACAGAACGCTGACAGATTCCTTGTCGCAATATAGGTTCGGTTACAGACACGCGCGCCTGATGCGCCGAGGACAATGGTTGGAACATTTGGACATATCGTGAAGAATACTGGTTTCACCGGATTATACAGTGGTGTATGTGCAAGGCCCAAAGACCCGCGCAAGGCAGAGATGTCAGGGCACGACCATTGAAGCGAACAGCTGGCTAACAAGGGACGAATTGGACCGGATTTATAGCTCTCGGCCGCGCTTCTCCGTCAAATGACCTACTCAACAACTCGATTTGGTATATATGAAGAACTGAAGTCGCGCTTCGCCACCCCCACAGAAGCAGGCGGCGCACCGAATATGCTGTCCCTGGTTGGTATAGCCTGCGTATCTGGCTTCATTGGTGGTATCGCCGGTAACCCGGCCGATGTCATGAACGTCCGCATGCAATCCGACGCAGCCCTTCCTCCAGCCCAGCGCCGCAACTACCGCCATGCATTCCACGGACTTGTGCAGATGACCAAGACTGAGGGATTCGGTTCTCTTTTCCGTGGAGTATGGCCTAACTCCACCCGTGCGATTCTCATGACTGCCTCGCAACTCGCCTCCTATGATACCTTTAAGCGCATGTGTATCGAGAAGGCCGGTATGGCCGATAACCTGGGCACACACTTCACTGCCTCGTTCATGGCTGGTTTCGTCGCTACTACCGTCTGCAGTCCTGTGGATGTGATTAAGACTCGCATTATGACTGCCTCTCCTGCTGAGAGCCGGGGTCATACTATTGTTGGTCTTCTGCGTGATATCTGTCGCAAGGAAGGTCTTGCTTGGACTTTCCGTGGATGGGTGCCTAGCTTTATTCGTCTGGGTCCGCATACCATTGCTACTTTCCTCTTCCTTGAGGAGCACAAGAAGCTTTACCGTAAGATGAAGTCTCTATAGAGGTAGAGATGCAAAGCCGCAATCTCTCTTCGGGCTCTCTTTTCATCCATTCGCCTTCTCAAAACCTCATTTACGCCTCTGCCCGAATATTTCTCGGTATATACGACTTTTGCCATCTTTTGTTATTTTCTGTTTGGGTGGTGCACTTTTGGGACTTATGAGCATCAATTTAGCTTGTATATAGCTAGTGCTTTTTGGATGTCTCTTTCACTGGAGACCTGAATGGTCATAGTGGGTTGAAAAACACGTCTCGCACATGGCCTACCCTGTATAGGATGTGGTGGATACATTTTGCTGGGAGACTGGGATCATATAGAATTAGATACACACTGAATCGCACTAACAGCATCTCCGCAAGGACAAACTCTTTCCTGGTAACCTTTCCAGATATCATCGCAAGCGATTTGCGTTTGCAAGCCACGTCTGGCACAGGTCATGGAGGTCTACAATGATGATAAAAAATTAACCTAATTACTACATCTAGCACCAGCTAACATGGGGCGTCTTTGCAGTACGGCGGGTTTATAGACATCCTTTCTAGCCTTGATGAATTGACCTAGGAAGATAGGGACTGTATCCCGCGTAACCCAGTAGAGTACATTGGAACTTGACGATACATAAAATTGACACAGCTCATTTAACCAACCCAAAATGCTCGTTGGCTATCTATTTGTCGAGGTGAGCAGGGAAGTTGCCAGCCTCTGTTGTTAATTGTTAGCACGAAAGAAAACACAACCAAGGATTCAATACGTACCACGCTGACCGTCCCAACGGTCGGTCCAGGCCTTGGGGCACAGAGAGCGGAAGGAGTGGTAGAACTGTCGGGGAACGGGTTAGATACGGCTATGTTCCCATTTGGAATTGCTTGTCATACCTGCTTGCAGGGACGGAAGTCGTCACCCTTGGCAGTGGTGCACTTGTAGTAGTCGACATAGTTCTGCCAGCAGTGCTTGGTCCTAAAAGGGGAGACGTTAGCTATCGCATTTTATTGTCCAAATCAACAATCACATACTGGTTCTGCTGGGGGAAACGAGCGTCGTAGCCTGCGATTCAATCAAAAATTGTCAATTTCACCATTCACCAGCCGATCGGGGGGACACCGTCCAAACGCATCCTCGAAGCGAAGCAAGCGGACAGAAATCGGATAGAAACGCACCAGCTGCAATTCAGTTAGCCATTGACTCTTAATTTGGGCAACTAACCCCGGTTTTCGCAGGAGAGGGGAGTGAGAACGTACCAGTCACGAACTTGAAGGGCTTGGTCTCCATAACCTCATCGGGGTCGGCTTCCGGAATGGCACCCATATTTGCGATGTGTAGCTTCAGAAGAAACAACACAGGAGAAAAAGAATTGGAGTGGTATGATCAGAGAGGAGGGGAGAAAGTGAGCCGGGAGGAGCGACGTTGGGTGATTGAAGCTGTGAAGTGCCGGGTATGACCGCGGGCGGTCAAGCGAGAGCCACTGAGCGTTCTCGCTTTTACACCCGAAGTCACGTTTCTGGAAAGCTGCCCGTCCAACCTCCTCATCCCACTACTACTCTTGCTTGCACTTCGTCTAGCAACTCTCTCCAGCCATGTTCCCTACTCGCATGCTGCGCATGCAGCCTACTCGGGCCTTTGCCTTTGCTTCCCCGGTATGTTTCTTTCTCCCGAGGTTGGGGGCGTGATCATACGATCGGTTCGGTTACTAACTCCTGGCTACAGAAGGAGCCTCACTCCGGTATGAATCTCCTGGATCACTGAGATCTGGTGGTCAATGATCCACCTAGACTGGCTTTGCGACTGTCGCAATCGCAATTGAACTAACCCTATCTCTACAGCCCACACTATCTCCCAGCGTCTGCGCCAGCTCAAGCGTGTTCCCCCAGAATTGCTCCCCATCGGTATGTCTCACTACCATTGCCACCGTCCAGGACAAACCATCAATCTAACATTGTTTTGACATTTAGGATTCGTTCTTGCGTATGTTTAAACCCATCTCTACGATTTCCCGCTCAAACCCGGAACCCATACCCGAATTTTCGCGTTCTATCTGCTCTCAGAGATCGAGCTTGATGCTAATTGTCATGATTATAGTGTTGCCCTCGGCGCTGCCGTCTACTCTTGTGGCAAGAAGCTGATGACCGACAAGACCCTGCGTCTTTACCGCAACAGCCCTGAGAGCCGTGAGCACTAAATGTATCATCATGTTTATTTGAGCTCCTCAATGCGATTCGCAGCTTTGGGAATTCCTGCCGCATGTATTGTTGATTAGGAGAATGCGAAGCCGTCAGGTTTATTTGAGAAAAAGCAGCGAAGACAAAAAGGAACGGGCTCGGGTTCGGGAGCCCGTGTACATATTCCGATTTCGCGAGCCTGGTTCCTGATGGTGTACTTGTGGCAAATAGTAGTGTCATATTTCGGATTGAGCTTGTGCTTTTTTGTTTGTCATTTTCGTCGTAGCTATCGTAAATTGTAGCATGCTTCACTCGGCCTTTGGCCCGGCAACATCTAGCTCTTCCAAGCCCTGCATCGGGTCTTGCGGGCGATTGCTGGCTGCTTGTGCCTCTTCGGCAGCTTCCCGATCCTCTTCGCTGACTGCATGCTTGGCCAAATAGCCCTCCTGTAGAGAATAAGATTAGTTCTGAATGCGACCAGATATAAAATCGAGTTCCACGAACCTGTTCCCAGATTGCGGTCTTGCTCCCTAATCCTTCGTTGGCATCCTTCTGTGGCTTTGCTTGAGCGACCTTGATGGTTCGGCCGTAGACCTCGCTGCCGTCCATGTTGTCGATGGCTTCTTTGGCGTCTTGGGGTAAATCAAACTCGACATATCCATATCCACGGTGGAGGTCGGTGGAGTTCGGCTGATCCGGCTTGGGTAACGAAATATCGACAACTTCGCCAAAAGGAACAAATGCTTCTGCGAGAGTGTGCGCAGTTACTGACTGGTCAAGTCCTCCGACATAGACGGTGCTCTTCAACCGAGTGGTGTCGGTCATGTTGTGCTGTTCCGCTTGGGCTTGGTGTTTGCAAAGCTGGAATATAGGCAACAATGCGACCGGTGTGAAGATCACCGGAGAGAAAAAGCAGATAGAGTGGGTGTGTTCAAAGCTGTACCTTACGATCAAGACTCGTTCACCAAGAGCGGAACTGGATATCACGTGCCGGTCAAGCCTCGGGGTGTTTTGGCGAGTCTCGAAAGAGTTTAGCGCGAGTTCCCCGGTCCCTCCAAGTCCAGGAGGCCACTTGGTTTACTACTATACTTGGGACCTCTAGAACATCACCCCGTTGGCAATTATTCATAGGGGGTGATTCTTGTTTGTTTTCCTTTATTAAAGCTCTTTTTCCTTTCCTTTTTCCATTGATCTATTGGTCTCCATTATCAAAACATATCTCCCCATACCATCATCATGGTGCGTCTGAGGGAAATCCCAAGGACGGCCACCTTCGCCTGGTCGCCTGGTGCCGCATCACCATTGATCGCCACCGGAACCCGCGCTGGAGCTGTCGATGCCGACTTCTCAAACAAGACCTGTCTCGAACTCTGGGATCTGGGTCTCGATCGCCAGGACGCGAGTGAAGAGCTGCAGCCGCTAGCTAAGATCGATACGGATTCTGGGTATGATTGGCGTTCAGGGATTGATGGGGGAATGCGCTGCTGACACAATAATCTATCTAGCTTCAACGATCTCGCCTGGACTACCTCCGAAGACAGCACACGTGGTATCATTGCGGGTGGTCTGGAGAATGGATCGTTGGATCTATGGAACGCCGATAAGCTACTTGCTGGATCTAGGTTGGTGGAACATCCATACCCGACCATCCTCGAGACTTGCTAACCGATTCTCCAGCGATGCTTTGATGTCAAGGACGACCAAGCACAGCGGCGCCATCAAGGCCCTCCAGTTCAACCCTAAACACTCGAACCTTCTCGCCACCGGTGGTGCGAAAGGAGAGCTGTTCATTTCAGACCTTAACAATCTCGAGAATCCATTCCGCCTGGGTAACAATGCTGCCCGCACAGACGATATCGACTGCTTGGACTGGAACAAGAAGGTTCCTCACATTTTGGTTACGGGTAGCAGCGCCGGTTTTGTCACAGTCTGGGATGTCAAGACCAAGAAGGAAAGTCTGACATTGAACAACATGGGCCGCAAGGCTGTCAGCGCAGTTGCATGGGATCCCGAGAAGGTAAAGAGCCCTGTTTCTTATTGATGCTCCCAAAACAGTCTTGCTAACAACTTGTGTCTAGCCCACCAAGCTTATAACATCGACACCTCTTGAGTCAGACCCATATCTTTACGTGTGGGATCTGCGCAATTCCCACGCCCCCGAGCGAGTACGTTAACTAATCATCGCTATAGAGATTGAATGCTAATGTGCCTTTGTAGACACTCAAGGGCCACGAGTCAGGTGTTCTTTCGCTTTCATGGTGTGACCATGACCCCAGTCTTCTTCTTTCTTCTGGTAAGGACAATCGCAACATCTGCTGGAACCCGCAGGACGGCACGGCCTACGGAGAGTTCCCCGTTGTCACGAACTGGACTTTCCAGACTCGCTGGAACCCTCACAACCCGAACTTCTTTGCTACCGCCTCGTTCGACGGAAGGATCTCGGTCCAAACCCTGCAGAACACGAAGACCGACAATGCTCAGGCTATCGCCGACCACAACCAAGCTTTGGACGGCGAGGACTTCTTCAACAAGGCCCAAACACAGCCTCAAGTCTCCAAATTTACTCTTCCCAAGGCCCCTCGCTGGCTCGAACGGCCATGTGGCGCTACGTTTGGATTTGGTGGCCGGGTTGTTTCTTTCGGCCGCAGCGAGAAGGACTCTCGTGTGTCCAAGATTAAGATCACGCCTTTCGAGGTTGATGAGAGCGTTGGAAATGCCACCGAAGCCTTTGAAAATGCTCTGAAGGAGGGTGATCTGAAGACACTCTGTGAAACTCGCGCAACAAATGCCGCCAGCGAGGAAGAAAAGGCAGACTGGAAGGTTATGCAGGCTTTGATCTCCGCCAACCCCCGCAAGGATTTGGTCCAGTACTTGGGCTTCCAGGATCAGGCTGCTGATGAGGCTGCTGATAGCCTCTCAAAGCTTGGTCTGGACAAGAAGGAAACAGCTGAGGCTAACGGAGTTGCCGAAAAGCCAGCTGGAGCTAAGAAGCACAAGCGCCTGCAATCTATGTTCGAAGCCAACCCCGAAGATGACAGCTTCCTGTCTGAATTGGCTGCTTCCAAGGGTGCCCAGACCAACAACCCCTTCCAGATCTTCAATGGATCTGAGACTGAGGCAGAGCAGCAGATCACTCGTGCTCTGCTTCTTGGTGAGTTTGAGAAGGCTTTGGATGTTGCCCTCCGCGAGGACCGTATGTCTGACGCATTCATGATTGCCATCTGTGGTGGTCCCAAGTGCATCGAGAAGGCTCAGGAACACTACTTCTCTAAGCAAGCCGGTGGTCCCAACTATATGCGTCTTCTCGCATCTATTGTTGGTAAGAACCTCTGGGATGTTGTTCACAATGCGGATTTGTCCAACTGGAAGGAAGTAATGGCTGCCTTGTGCACATTTGCCGACGAGAAGGAATTCCCTGATCTCTGCGATGCACTTGGTGACCGCCTTCTGGAGCAAGTTCAGGGTACAGAGGATAAGAGTGCCCGCAAGGATGCTTCTTTCTGTTTCTTGGCCGGCTCGAAGCTTGAGAAGGTTGTCTCCATTTGGGTCGAAGAGCTCCGTGAGAACGAGCAAAAGGGAATTGAGACCAGTACCAATGGCTCTGGCTTTTCTATTCACGTCCGCGCTTTGCAGGGCTTGATTGAGAAGGTTACTATCTTCCGTCAAGTCACCAAGTTCCAGGATACAGAGCGGTCTAAGGACTCCCAGTGGCGCTTGAGTGTATTATACGACAAGTACGTCGAATATGCCGATGTTGTCGCTACCCACGGACGTCTGCAAGTCGCTCAGAAGTACCTTGATCTTGTCCCTGAGAAGCACCCTGAGGCTGAACTAGCCCGCAACCGTATCAGGTTAGCCACCAGACAGGCACCGCAGAAGGTGCAGGCCGCTGTTGGAGCGAAGCCCGCCTTCAAGCCTCTCCCACAACAGCCCAACATTTACCAGCCGCAGCAACCCAACCTTGCATCCCCTGGACCTCAGCCAACGGCCTTCAAGCCTCTCCCGCAACAGGCCAACATTTACCAGCCGCAGCAGCCCAATATTGCATCCCTTGGATATCAGCCAACTCAAGGCATGAGACCCACAGCCTATGCTCCTCAATCTGCATTCGGTGGACAGCCCGCAGGTGCTGGTGTGCCTCCCCCTCCCCGTGCTTCTAACCAGTCGCCGGCCAACCCTCCCATCACCACATATACCACGGCTACCGGCCTTCCTGCGTGGAATGATTTGCCTGAGGGCTTTGCCAAGGCTCCTACACCCCGCCGCTCAACCCCTGCCGCTGCCACTGCACCCATCGCCTCTCCGTTCCCCAACCAGTCTCCGACTCTGAGCCAAGGACCTCCCTCTGCTGGCCCCCCTCCGGTTGGCGCTCCCCGGGCACCATCTGTGCCCCCTCCGCCTAAGGTGGGACAAATGCCTCCCCCGCGTATGATGTCGCCGCCTTCATCCAACATCCCTGGACCTTCCCCGCCGCCTCCCAACCCATACGCGAGCCTTCCCCGGTCACCGCCGATGGGTGCTCCGGGATCAACCATGGCTCCTCCGGCATCAATTCCTCGCGGACCCTCGCCTTACAATGCCCCTCCCAGCATGCCACCACCAACCAACCGGTACGCACCGAGCCCGGCTTCTCAGGCCGCCAGCCCGCAACTCCAAACCCGTGGCCCGGTGCCTCCCCCTCCCCAGGCTGCCTCCTCGCCATATGCCCCCCAGGCGGTTTCACAGCCCCCTCCCGTAAACCCATATGCGCCTAGCACGCCTATCGCCACCCAGCCTCCTCCTATGGCACAGGCAGTCGCTCCGCCACCCCAGGTATCTCGGCCTATGCCGGCCCAGCCGCAACATGTGGCACCCCCGGCTCCCAAATACCGTAAGCTACTTCCAATCGAGTACTGCAAACCTGATAAACTGACATCTAACCAGCCGCCGGTGACCGTTCCCATATCCCCGCCAACGCACAGCCTATCTTCGATATCCTGTCAGCAGATATGGCGCGTGTCAAGTCCCGAGCTCCCGCGGCATTCAAGGTCCAGGTCGACGATGCTGAGCGTCGCTTGAACATCCTCTTTGACCACCTGAATAACGAGGACCTGCTCAAGCCTAACACCATTGAGGATATGAAGAACCTGGCTGGCGCAATCCAGGCTCGTGATTACGCCGCTGCTCAGTCTATCCAGGTGGCTATCGTTACTAACCGGAATGACGAGTGTGGCAATTGGATGGTGAGTCAACCTTTGATTTTCACCCCTTGTCATCTGAATTGATAACTAATCAAAATGGATTCCAGGTCGGTGTGAAGCGTCTGATTAGCATGAGCAAGGCCACCCCTGGCGAATAATTGCTTCAATTTCCTGTTCAGTGGAGGAAATGCGAAAGGCTTGGTAAATCTTGAATGATCGTGTCTGGCCTTCTTTCGCCTCTTTTTTTTCACTCTACTCCAGCGCTTCCATAACTTCGTCTTCTCTTCCTTGTCCATTTTATAATTAATGTCCGCGTATTCTGTTCTGTTTTCTACCATTTCCCGCTCTCTCCGGTGGCATAAGTTTGATCGGTCTCTCGTGCCATGAGCAAAGCAAAACTTTTTGAAGTTTTTCCTTTTCCATTTGTCGCTTTCACATGTAATTCACATGAACAAAGGCCACTTCATAGATTGTCAAATTGTCAAATAGACATGAATAGCATGAGGCTTAGATATTGCTTTTTTTTTACACCACTAGCTTTAAAAAAATCAGTAGTAATTCCAAAGCGCACGGCTAAAGAAATAATAGTATGATGGAGAAAAAGAGAAAAAAAAGATAGACATAGCATGTCCTGGTTTCGATCCAGGGTCTGGTTGAATGTTAGTTGAATGAACTTGGTAATTGATGGAGTCGGTGAAACATACCCTCCGGGTTATGAGCCCGGCGCTCTTCCCCTGAGCTAACATGCTGGGAATGGTTAGCGTTGTCCTCGATAAGTGCACCATAGCCAATCTGGCGCTAGTCCCTCTTCGTATAAAGTAGTTAACTTGTTGGTTGAAGCATCTAGTAAGTTATATCCTATTTTCTACAAAATGGATTTTGGAAGAATGAAGGAGAATTCATGATGATACTGGTACATGGTAATATTGCGGGAAATGTCTACTGTAGATACTCGTAATGCATTACTTTGTCGCACCCTATCAACGCCATGAATGCAGCATACAAAAAAATAGTCACGTTAACATTAAAACAGCAACTCCAAAACCTCAGCCCGATGTACAAATGCACTCACTGCCTCCTCGAAAGCCTTTAATGCTTCCGATTGATTGTTCATCAAAGCAACAACATCAGCATCAATTCCGATTTCCTGAGACTCATGTCCCGGACGGGTAAAATAATACTTGCCCTGGTGCCAAGACCATTTTCGGAGATAGATTTGAAGGTCCTTGGAGGTGAGAGAGTGAGCTTGGCGGAAGAGATCCGATCCCTTGCCACACGAAGTGTCTGGTGCGTCTGGGAACACGAGGAGGGTATCACTCGCTGGTAAGCCTGCACTTGACTCCGTGTTGTGTAGATGGGCGGTCACAGCCTTAGTGAAATCGCGGAACCATTTGATGAGCGGGAAGATTTCTTCTCCGGAGCCTGTCGCCCTGTTGACGTAGTCTACTACTGGGAGAGCAGAGGAGATCATGTCCATGAATACGGCGAGCATTGCTAGGGTTGCCGGATTTGATAGGCGGTGGCGGCGGTTCTCCAGGCTGGACATTGCCTTGCTGGATGCTTGGAACACAACGGTGATCATGTCGACGACGGATGATACAGAGGCTGGGTCCAGGGTGTTCAGGCTGCAAATCAAGTCGTCGAACACCAGTGTGATTGTTTGGGCGATGGGACGGCTGAGTAGCCACGCGGCACGGTTGCCAAGTGCTTCTTCGAGATAGGCTGGGAATACACACTGCAGGAGTGTGGCGCGGAGGGTGGGCTTATCTGGGTTTCCAGCTTCGTAGTTTTTCTTCATCGATGTGTGGATTTGATTGACCAAGTAGTCCTGTTGGCCGTCGATGACGGCGCGTTCGGAAATGCTTTGGATGAAACCAGTCAGAGTCTGGATTTCCGAGCTGGAAGATAGCTTTGGTTCGTAACGTTTCAGCTTGGCAACGATGTAGCGTGGGTCATTGGATGGTAAGGGGAATGAGGCAGGATCTGTGAAGAAGGGATCTATAGGCTTGATATCGCTGGTGTGTTGTTGGAGGAAACCAATGACGCTATGCACAAAGCCGACATATGCTCCTTGGGCGGCGTGTGCTGTCCCGTTTCCTAGCTCTCGATAGTTGTCTTTCATAGAAGTCATCACCCGCTGAAGTATCTCGGAATACTCTTGTTTCGTCGCTGAGAAGTTCCGGTCTCCGGTGAACTCCATGTTTTGAAGCTGCTCGCGCATGTTGGATGAGAGACTTGAAATCAAAGAGAGTCTGCGAGAACCGATCTCCTCCAATGTAATTGTGTACCGGTCCTGTTTGTCCTTGGAAAACGGAAGATTCCTGAGTAAAGGGTCTTTGGGGCTTTCGTTCAACAGGGCCTCTGTAAGTCGATGTTGAAACTTCAGCATTGAGGAACGCTCAACCAGCGATGTCATCCATGTGCCCATAACTTGAATACGGCAATCAAATACAATCTGCGAGTCTTTCTCAATACAAGCTGCAAGAAATTGTGGAGCAAACTTTCTCGTTTGAACCGTCTGTCGAAGCCGTGACCAGGAATCGTCGCCAAATTCACTCAAATAGTTGTCCCAGTTTCGAAGTCTATGGCGAACGAGAACCTGCGCGATAGAAGTCCAACAATTCACTACGCTGAGGAGAATGGCATCTTCCGGACAGTGATCTTCGCCGAAGCAATTAGAAACGAGCTGAGACACAATTGGATGTAATGTCCTCTCCACATGATTCACTGCTTCACTTGGAGAAGTCTGCTGCCCTGTCTGTTGTTCCCAGACAGCCTCGATATCAGTCCAATCCCCAAATTCTTGACTATCCTCATCAGTTATCATTGCCGCCGGAGCCTCTGCTACCGATGCAGCGGGAGCATCCTTCTGAGTGTACACCACTAGCACCTGCAAAGCCTCGGATACAACAACGTTCACCCGTGAAAGCTTGGGGTTGAAGAGTCCAATAATCGAGTCAAACGGTGTCTTCAAAAGCAGCCGATGTGCATGCTCCAATCTGGGTGCATGCTCAATGGCAGAGCGCAGCCCGACAAGCGCTGTGCTCAACAGGGTCTCGATCTGCCGTTGATTCTGAGAGATTGTGCGCTCAATGAGCTGCTGGGAGACACCGTTGTTGCCAGTACTTTGAGACTCAATCTCTTTGCGGGCGTATGCATGCTGTTGTTGTAGCTCTGATACGAAATAGCCATACCAGTCGCCGAACGGATCGAGACCGGAGACTTCCTCGTCTGTAGAAAGTTTGAAGCGAACGAGTCGGCACCAAGAGCGCAAACTGATACTGCACGCTTCTCGATGTGAGGTGGCAGGGTGAACGAGATTGCGGATTGTCTCCAGTCTAGGACGACAGCCATCAGGGACAGCCCAGTACAGAGTGCTGAGAAGATCATGGTGATTTCTAAGGGCATCGAGATCCTCGTGTCGTAACGGTTGCTCTTTTGGATACACGCGGCCATGATTTGGTAACAAACGCCAGGCAAAGTTTCGAATCTTTTTCTTGTCATATCTCTTCGCAAGGAAACGTAAACCACTTGCTACTATCTTGAGAAATGTGTGGAAGCACGGTTCTCCAACTCGGGCGTCCAGAGAAGGGTTGCCATCGAGTTCGTCAAGAAATGAGGGTGACCCACGGGCTTCTTCAAGTTTCAGGTTATACAGAGTGTTTTTCGCGAAGAAGTCGAAAAGCGTGTCCAGAATTGGTTTGCATTCTCGCCATCCCCAGGAATTGATGAGACGGTGACACCGGTGAAAGAGGATTCGACAGTAGCCGTTGTATGAGAAAGGCTGGGTCATAGAGGTCGCCTCAGAGAGATTCAGCGCAGGAGAAAGAAGCCGTTTGACCAATTTCCAGTTGTCATGGACAAGTGTGAATTGATATCCGATTTGCCCGATGCCGAGCTGATCTATCTCGTTAAAAGGCAGAACTGTAAACAGGCCACGCCATCCAGCTTCTAGATTGTTCACATCCTTTTCATTGCGAATGAATTTACTGCTGAAGGTCTCTAATTGCAGATCCTCAAAACAGCCGCTGTATTGCTCTGAGCTGCGAAGCAAGTGTTTCATCACAACATAAGCCTCCACATATGGATTTTCATCACGAAGGCCTGATTCGCGACGTTCGGTGTTGTTGTTTTCATCCAAGAATCTTTTGAAATCGGCGGAACCAACATCAGATATGATCAATCCCGCAACATCTCTGGCAGAAACTCTAACAAGGCCTTGTGCTTCAACGGCAAGAGCAGGACTGACAAGCTGGTGAGAAGCAATCTGGTAGATCAGGTTCGAGAAAACCACGTTGAAGCAAGCAATCTTGACGAGACCATTCTTGTTGTATTCGTCACTGGAAAGAAAGGCTACCAAGGGATCTCTTACCGCAGAGACCAGCCCCGTAGCTTTGGTGATAAAACTGGTTCGGTCAACGGGGTCAATGAACACGAGGTTTTCCGTGAGGTATTTGATCAACAGCCTGTATAGGCGCGATGCTACCCCTAGGGCAGCTGTGATACCCATTTCTGGAGAAGTAGTAGCACTTCGTTCAATGTTGTCGATTATCACATCAAAGACATTGCCCATTTCAGATGATACTGTGTCATTCCAGCTGCTCCATTGATAGGTCTGATCCCTAGCAACAATAGAGAATGAACCAGCATCCCCGTCCAAGTCACGCTTTGTGACCTGCAACGAGCGCGAAAATTCCCCGCTTCCTAGGAAGGTTGATTCATGGAGGAATGTGTTGTCACGTAAGGATGGTACACCGAAGTCAACCGGATAGAAGCGGTGCCAATTGAAAAGACCACCAGCACTCAAAGATGCAGGTTGTGAATCTTCGACTTGGGTTATGATAGGAGTTTCTTGATCCTCAGATACAAACAAAGCGGCATCTTGGGTCTGGCGGAAATCATCATTGTCAAGATTTATGCGATTTGGAGTATGTTTTTTCGGTCGTCGTCGATGAACAAGCGCTCTCTGGGTTTGCGCTTGGGCTTTTGGCTCAAAGGAAGGTGCAATTGGAGGTTTGAATGATGGATTGAACCTTCCGGTTGGGGGTCCACTGTCAGTGATGTAGCGATCCAAAGTCAGGCTAGGTCTGTTCCCTTGAGAAGTGCGTTGGTGACGATAATGTCGATTGATCTGAGATAATGACTGATTGAAAGCAGCCGCTGTCAATTTCTTGCTCCCGCCAGGAGCTGCCGAGCTCGTTACGGCAGGTCGAGGGACATTCCTCTTCAAAGAAGTAATTGCAGTATTTCTAGGAATAACCCAGGTGTGTCCACGTTGCTCTGGCTGCACTGGCTGACGGCGAAACGAAGACTCTAGTTCAGCTGTTTGGTTCGATGTGACTGATATTGGCCCAGATTCAGGCAATGCGTTTGTCTCCTCGGCAGGATAGATATGTGGAACAACCTCATCTTCCTCCGGGGGCAAGCGACTGGTAATTCGAGTATTTCGGGCGTGACCAGCGGTAGATACAGCACGATATCCAGGAGCTGACGGCTTCTTTGGAGCTTGCTGACGCTTGCGAGCCCTAGGCTGCGGTGGGCTGATTCTAGTCTGCCGAATTGCTCCCCTCTTCCAATCTCGCAAGGACTCATTTACATCTATTGTATCAGCTTTCGAGGCCAGCTTCAAGAACTTTTGAGAGGGGCTTTGTCTGCCACCATCTCGGCGGGAGCGAGCATTCCTTGCTGCAACCCTGAGGAACTGTGGCTGCTCTTTGCGAGATTTTGTGGCAACATCTGGTGCATCCAATATGCCTAGTCGTGGCCGCGAAACGGTAGAAGATTTCTTCGTTCTTCGTGCTCCGTATGAGGCATCAGTCATCCGAGTTTGCTTGGGCCTCTTTCGCTGTCTTTCCTCACGAGCCACCCCTTCTTTCGGCTTCGGTCTCTTTAGGCTCTTCCGATTTTGTTGCGTTCCAGGAGAGTTGCGTGGGGCTGATGCAAACATGTAGTCGATGCGGTTGTCTTCCGATATGTCACCTGCTTCCAGCGCAAAGGGATCTTCAGAGAGCGCTTTTCCAGCTAATCTTTGGTTGGATTCATCTGTGGTAAGCACGGTATTGTTGTCATTGGGGTCGTCATCCTCATCATCTGAGTCCCCAAGGTCAAAGAGGCTGGTTGACTGTTGTGTGGCTGCTGGTTTCGAACGGTCACCTCTCCGGATCAATTTCCGCGCAACGCCTTTCCCATCTGGGCGGTGCCCAAAATTTCGATCGTGTTGCGAAGGCTTTGCTTTATCTTCCTTGGCTTTTTGATCGAGCCTAAACCATGAAGCAGGAAGGACTCCACGCATCCGCCGTTGCTCTCGTCGAATTGCGCGTTCTTCTGCCTCCGCCTGGTTCTGTTCGCTGTCACTTGGTTGACTATTAGAGGAGACAGATTGTATCTCCTCATCGTGGTCAGATCCCGGCTCAGCTCGCTCGTCCTTGTCAAGACCTTCTTCTTGGGCCTTGGGGTTTTTGACCCCGGATGGTGGCGTCCATCCGCGAGGAAAGCGAAATCCGACTGATGCACGTGGTGTTTTCGATGCGGAAGATAGACGGCCTGAGTGTGGCGGGCTAGATGAAAGATCATAAACAATATGTTCAGGTTGGTTCCTGGGTCCTGCATCTCTGATTCCGCGAGGTTTAGACGGGTTGTGCAAACGATCCCGGCGTACACGAGGTGTGCCAGAGTGTGAGGTTTTCCTTCGTTTCGCCATATGCGCTTCCCGGTCCCGGGGTGTTTCAGGGTCATGATGTCCCTGGTTTTGTCTGACAGAGTTTCGTGGCCTTTCTGGTCTGACTGGTGGAAGATATTCCTCTTGTGGAGGGCTTGAGGGCGGAACGTTTGGGTCAAATGAATCCTGCCCCTGGCTCTCATCGGTGATTTGCTGTGCCTGCGGAGGAGCAGCTTGACGAATTGGTTTTACGCCTCGCGCTTTCATTTGCTGTGCATATTTCAATTGTTCCAGGTAGTATGGCTGCAGCTGTATGGCATTGCGCTTTCGGAACGTTCTTTGTTCTGCTTGGGGAATTTTTCGCAAAATGTCTTCCGGGATATCTAGATGGGGCAACAGATCATCTAGAGAATCTTGTAGCTCGGAGATCATTGTTGTCTGTGGCTGTACGTCCCCGTTCTGTTTACCATCAGACACATTTACTGTCTCCGTGGAATCGTGGCCGGAGTCTGAGCCAAGCGACGACGGTACAGAAGATAATGGGGAGTCATCGTCTGAGTTCGCTTGCAGCGGTGCTAGGGGTGCCGGTTGGGGTGATACCACTTTCGGTTTGACACGATTTACCACAGGGGTCTTCTTTCGGGTAGGCAGAGGAATCAAACTCAGCTCATCTGGCGAGGAGCTTACTGATCTCGGGATCTCAACGCGAATATTAGCCCTTGGAATCCGAGGCTCGATTACAGTTCGAGTGAGTGACTGCCTTCTGGGCTTTGAAGCTTTAGGGGTTGACTCCTGGCTTTCAGGCTTCGAGTAGGCTTCCTCTTGTTCCTGGGAGGACTCCGGAAAGTCATATATGGTGTCTGTGTCCTTTGCTGGGGTCTTGCGCAGCTCGTTGCTGGGACGATCCCTGGATTTCGTAGCTGTAGACCGGGCCCCGTAGGTCTTGTATCCTCGTCGGCGAGCTGGCGTGAACTCGTCAAAGGATTTCCCATTGTCTTCAGCCCCTCCCTTGGACTTTGTGTGCATCGTTCTCTGCTCATCCTCGGTTTTTGACGCCGTAGCCCGCTGTAATCCAAGTTCTTCCTCAAGCGGTCTTCGACGAGCCTGGTCCTCGACATCCGAAAGAGTGATTGATCCATCCTCGGCACCACACCGCTCATGTGGCTCTTGCGATGAACCGTTCGTCCCTTCCTTCAGGTTCGGCGTTGATGCAGGGATTGGGATGGAAATATAGTCGAGATCGGGACCATCAGATTCATTGTCAAGAGTTGTCTTCTTGGCCTCAATCGAATCGAATCCATCTTCTTCGTCCGAGTCCGAGTCGGGGACAAAACCTCGTTGCCGCCATGATTCCATTTGCATCCTTGGCGGGGATCGCCCATGTCTCAATCAAGTCATTGGAGAGCGTAGAAATGAAGCGTATAAGGATCTTCGGGGTATAAATCACGAAATACAAGAGGCACAAACGCCAGACAATGATCGTAATGGCCTCACTGTAATTCGACGCGTGGTGAAGGGTCAATTTCACGCGCCGCTAATCAGCCAACTGATAACGTCTCTCCCGCATCACCTCCGAACTCTCTCATTACCCGAACGCACCCATCAGACAACCCCCTCGGAGTGACGGAAAATGAGTCGCAATTTTGTTCCTGCACTTCTGGCCATTGGTGTTGGTGTCTTCACAGGTATGTGCAGTCCCTCGAGAGAGATAACTATCTTCGATACCTGGTTTTCCTAACCCCGAATTTTCCCATCTACAGGCTACTACACCTTCCAACCGACTTTCCAGCAAATGCAACACGAGAAGTTGAACGGAACTCACCAGCCTGCTGGACTTTCTGATATCTCTGCTTTAAAGGAGAAATCTGACGCTCCCCCTGCTCAGGGCGACGCCACTACGTCAACGACGGAGAAATAGTGAGCTTGGACTTTCTGTGGCATTGGCTTTTTGAGCGCAAAAGTTGGCTCAAACGCTACTCTTCTCTTCTTCCCATGGGCACATATGCCTTGCTCAATATCGGGTTCTCTCCCCGAGACTCCAGCACTGGAGGTAGTATAGGCGCTGCCTTGCACTTCGCCCAGTCTTGTGAATAGGCTGTGACACATAGGATTGATTTAAAGGTCAACTTCGAAGTACTCGCTGGTAGGTTGCTTCGGGTTATCTATATCGGCGACATGGAATGCTGGATGGTGCCCAGCTGTTGGCTTTGATATAAGGGGGTTAAAATATAGCTCAATCGCATGAGACGGAGTAATAAGTGTCAAAATTGACAAATTGCATGGCTTCAGCTTGTATGTAATTAAAACATGTTTTGAACGCCATTCCACGTTGTTCCCTTTCGAATGAAGATGTCCGGTCCTTCCCGAATGCCGTATTAGATATTCCCTCAAAGCGCCGTTCCGTTATAAGTTGCAGTGTGTAGCCTCAAAGTTCTTCGACCATTTTACCTACAGAGGCAGGTGGACGGGCGCCAAACATTCGTCCGGAAGGTGTGCCCAGCCATTCTTCTGGCACGTTGACTTTGCAACCATTGGGGCCACTGACCCATCGGACAAAGATAGGGTCGGCCTTCTCAGGCTCGGAGGTCTCTTGACCGGCCGGGGTGCCATCGGGGGCTTCGTTTGCTGCAGCTCGGCCACGTCGTTTTGGTGCCTGCTTCTTGAGTAGTCGGTTGATTGTGTCCATCTGATTCACATGTAAGCGGGGGTACTTCCGTCACGATCTTTGCACGCATACCTTTTCCTCTTCATTGCGCTTTTCACTCAGGTTCTTCCTACGTCGGGCCATCTCTGCGCGGCGCATTTGGCGCTCCTCCGCTGTCAAGTGCTTCTTGACTTGGGGCTCTGTTTGCTAATCAGCACCAGTCTTCGTCATATATTCTAGCTTTTGCTTACCCATAGGAAGCTGCAGGAAATCATTCCCAAGGTTCCCTCGTTGACGCTTGGTCATCTTGCCCCCATCCAAGAGTTCACCCTCTAGTTCGTCGTCAAGCATGTCATCATCGAGTTCATCCATGTCATCGACGGTGACATCTGGGACTCCGCTTTCGTCCTGGTCTTCGACTTCCCCCTCGGCATCCTCGTCGGAATCAGATATCTGCTCTTCCTCTTCGTCTTCTTCGTCCTCTTCGTCTTCATCCATCTCCATTTCCTTGGCCTCAACACTCTTGGGTGGCTTTGCGCGAGGTGCAGGAACAGCCTTGCCACGTCTAATAGGTGGCTGTGGTGGGGTGTCGTCCATATCGATGTCGCCGTCAGCGTCAGCGTCAGCATCCGCATCAGCATCTTCGTCGTCGTCATCTCCAGGTGCATCCTCATCGTCAACCTCATCTTCTTCTTGGTCGTCAATTTCTTCCTCATCGCTTGTAGCAACTTCTACAATCTTCTTTCGGTTCCGACTGGAGCGGGGTCCTGACACAATGGGATCTTCCCGAAACACATTGACAGAGCGGCGCCCGGGGCGACCACTGCCCGTCGCTTCACGCAATCTATTGGCAGGCATCTTAACTGTCAGGCGAAGTGATCTGACCGATTCTCCAGGAGAGTCTAATGAAGATCGCGAGACGGATACAGATGAAGTAGTAGCACGAGTGTGTCGTGTTGATCTGGTCCTCATGTTAGCGTCCGGTTCGGCGAATTCATCCTGAGTGCCTCGCGATCGACGAGATCGGCGGAGTGACATGGTGCCCAATGTGGTAGGGGGGCTTGCTTGTGGGAGTGCAGAAAACACAGAAAATGATGTGGGATAGAGTCATTGATAAGTGTGTGGCAGTAGCGACTTAAACCATCGGGAAGTCGGGGGACGCCTGTAAGAGGCAGGAAAGATATCCTCCGCCCAATCACCTCATCTACAGGATGCGATGCGGAGGTGTAAACGGGGAGGCACAGGTCCTAGACGCCACGATCCAGAGGAACAAAGCGCTACAGGGCGACAGGGGGCTAATTGTCCCCTGAGAGATGCCAATACCACCATGCTGGAGAGGGACAAGGCAGAAGGCAACGGAAATCACAAGAATCGGGGTACATACTCACTGGTTACTTGCTGTCTCGGCTGATGTTGACGTTGAGCAAATGAAGTACTGGCCGAACCATTCTGCCGGGCGGTGGCTCTGATATCTCGGGGTTTACAGACTGCAGTTTCACTTGTCAGAGATCATTGTTATTTGCTATGATTTACTAGTGAGGTGATAGTAAGTAGGTTCTATGCGGAGTGCACCTGAATTCAATGACAAGGGTTGTGAGAAGTTCGTCTTACTTAGCTAGGCTTCGTCTGTCTCTCAGGTGTCGTTCAGCACTAGTTTGCTTTTGCATAATCAAAATCTACGGGTTGTTCTCTAATTAAGCATTTTCAGCAAATTCTTAGTATCCAAGTCACAGGAAACTTGCGAAAGATCGCAAAAACTAAGAATTGGGTGTGGTGCCTGAGGTGTATACCGATGTTGCAACAGCCGAGGTCGGACTCACATGGGCTCCAAGTCTGGGGAAAGCCTCTCCTCTCCACTCCAACTTCCTCATCAATCCACTTGACAATTCAGACACAAAATAATGTCTGATAACACACGCAAATCTTCTATTCCTTCGTGGCAGAGGGCCAGTGGCACAGCAGATGAATCCCCGTCATCTTCGCCGAGCTCCGATGATGCGCCCGCACCCTCAACTACATCCCGAGGAGACCTGCTAGCGCAAGCATCCAAGTTCTTGGAGGATGAGTCAATCAAAGATGCCCCAACAGACCGCAAAGTTACCTTTCTCGAGTCCAAAGGACTGAGTTCCGAAGACATTCAGCAAGTTCTCGGCGTCTCCCGAAACGCGGAGGCAAGCAGCTCTCCCGCGGCCGATGATAAGGCACAAGAAGAGGCACAACCTGCCTCAGCCCCTCGTACTGAACCTACACCCTCTTCTCCTGCCACCTTTACATCGACCGCCCCCGATACCAGTGCCATGCCGCCACAGCGCCCAATCGCAGCGCCCACCACTGTCTCCCGAGATGCGCCTCCCATAATCACCTACCCGGAATTCCTCTTCGAGTCGAACAAGCCACCGCCGCTGGTCACAATGCATAATCTTCTTTATACACTCTATGGAGCCGCCGGTCTGGGGGCAAGTATCTACGGCGCAAGCGAATTCATAGTGAAGCCCATGCTCGCTAGCTTAACAAGCGCAAGACACGAGCTTGCAGCGACAGCAGGGGATAATCTCCAGAAACTGAACGAGAAGCTCGAGAAGACAGTTTCCGTCATCCCGCCCCAGCTCACAGCGCGCAAGGTCAGCCCTTATAGTGACGAGGAAGAGGCCAACGACACCGACTCAATCGCTTCCGACCCAACAGAACTGTTCCACCGGGATGTCGCAACACAGACAAGTCCCGAGACGACAGTCGTACCTACCAGCGCAGATCCGATTAACTCGGCAGACTCGACACTCGCAACGCCGACGACTGCAGTTAACAACCACATCAGCCGGATCGAGTCCATTACTTCACAATTACGGGGTATCATTGACTCCGAGAATGATGCTAGCACTCTCGATGACAAAATGCGCACTGGTCTCTCGGATCTCCATCACTACTGCGATGGTTTGATCTATAGTGCACCCGCGTACTCGACGGGTTCGACTTATGGGGTGTGGAACGCTTCGCATACATCAGGGTCGGATAGTAATTCCGGTCTGCGAAAGGCTGAGGAGGATGCTATTTCTAGCTTTAGGGCGGATATTCGCGGTGTTAAGGGTGCACTGTTGAGTGCGCGCAATTTCCCTGCTAGTCGGGGAGGAAGACATGGAGGCATTCAGGCTGGGGCAAGGTGATGCGAATAACTGGTTACTTTGATAATATTGTGAGCGGTAACGTTAAATAGCTGGCTATCTGTCGGCCTTTTATTACTTGCCGGTGTTTGTCCAGGTGCACATGCACAATATATATGTATTGCATAATTGGAAATACTTGCGACAATAACAAAATACCATTGATAAGCGTGATTCAGTGTAAGAATGAAGGAAATAGGCCTATAAAATTATTGCGAATTAAATAGCAAAATGATAAGCCAACAAACAGGGCTTTGTCGTGGGTTTAGCTGAGCTGGGTCATATAGCCAAATATGGAGACCCTCCCAACAATTCCCAGCATGTTAGCTCAGGGGAAGAGCGCCGGGCTCATAACCCGGAGGGTATGTTTCACCGACTCCATCAATTACCAAGTTCATTCAACTAACATTCAACCAGACCCTGGATCGAAACCAGGACATGCTATGTCTATCTTTTTTTTTTTCTTCCTTCATCATAATTTTCCCGTTAAATTACTGTAGTCCTTGCTCCCAAGAGGATCAGAATCAAGTGACGAAAGCTGACCGAGTCGCGCTACTCCCCAAACAAGTTAATCTCATACATCGGAACTTCCAATCTGACCTTTCTACTCCGCTCTGTCTGCCGTCCACACATATCAACATTCTAAACAGGCAAAATGAGTGTTTTCAAAGAACTATCATCATGGTCCTCTCCATCATACATCCAAACCTCACCAACACCATCAGTCGGCAACAAAGCACCATCGTGCTCACGATTGCTCCTTCCAGCCGATAATGGAAAGCCAACGGTCATATCATTCCTTCGACACTGTGGATGCCCAGGTCCGTCACCTAAAACACCCTGCATACATAACCAGGTAAAGCTAATAAGTTATACCGCGATAAAGTGGCGGAAGCTACTTTTATCACGATGAGAGATGCAGCAACCCAGTACCCCAATATCGACTTCATAGCCGTATCTCACAGCGACCAGGCCTCGACGGAGAAATGGCTGGAAGCCTTAGGTGGTCCTGGTAACCCTTCTTCGGGCTCTGTGACTGTGATTGTCGATGCTGAGCGTGAGATCTATGCAAAATGGGGCTTAGGGGTTGTTTCTTGGAGCCATCTTTTCAATCCAGCGGCATTATGGGGGGTCTTGAAGATCGGGAAGGAAAAGGGTATCTGGAATAGACCAACAGAGAGCGGGAGTAGGTGGCAGTGTAGTGGGCATTGGGCTGTTGATGGAGAGGGTGTTGTTCTCTGGGGAGGCCCAGCTGCCAGGGCAGATGAGACCATTGATATTAAGAAGGCTGTCGATGCTTTGCAATAGGGTAAGACACGTTGACAGTTGCTTCGTGGTGGTTATTTTTTCGAGGTGTCCTCTAGGGTTGTCTTTCTTGTTTACTGTTATTATATCGCCTATATCCAAGGATTTTGAGCTACATACTAGTACAACAAGCTATATTGAAATAGAGTCCAAAGGTATTCGAATGTAACATTAGAAAATGTATTGTACTTTGATAGAGACCGTAGCGTTAGTTAGACCATCTACATAAGCCCCACTTGTAAGAACGAATTTACCCAAAGCAAGAAATAATCTGAGTACTCTGAACATAATATTATAGCCTATAGTATTTAACCTGTAAGAAAATTAAACTTATAAGTTAAGCCAGCAACATTCCCAGGTTAACATGGTGCTTTCAATGGGACACGAGAATGACTGTAGAACCTTTTCCTCATGATGCCAAAAAACGTGGACAATTTTACCCAAATAAGCATGTTAGCTCAGGGGAAGAGCGCCGGGCTCATAACCCGGAGGGTATGTTTCACCGACTCCATCAATTACCAAGTTCATTCAACTAACATTCAACCAGACCCTGGATCGAAACCAGGACATGCTATGTCTATCTTTTTTTTCTTTTATTTCTTTTATTTTTTTTTATTTTTTTATACTCTCATTTCTTTGGCTATGCGCTTTGGAACTCTTATTGATTTTTTTTTGAAGCTGTGGTGTAAAGATTAGCAAAATCTAACATAAAATTACGTGGGTGTTTCAAGCTGGACACCTGAGCGATACCGTAATTCACCACCAAGATGCGCAACACTAGCGAGCTGCGTAGTCCGAACACATAGTAAATGCGATAATTCACAACTTGATAACTCAACAACATTTGTCTACAACAAGCTTTACTTACGTCATATATAATCTCTATATAAAAATCAGTTCTTCAGCTAAGTTCAAGGATTTTGAATTTTTTACTTCTCAAGATATGTTGATATTGATTGCACTTTGGTGTCCGTAATTTTCGGTATCTTTTGTAATAGCAACCACCCGGCTTGTCGACACCCTCTAAATCTTAATATAGTATTGATAAATCTTATCAGTAGCTATCGGCAAGTAACGAGGTAGAATGTATAAGTTATGTTGTTATTAAGATATATAGGTGTTAATATATATCGCATTTACCAACTTGTGTGTTCTGGACAGTGCAGCTGGCCGTACTCCAAGGAGTCTTCCCTTCATGATGTAAAAAATGGCGGACAATTTTACCCAATTCAGCATGTTAGCTCAGGGGAAGAGCGCCGGGCTCATAACCCGGAGGGTATGTTTCACCGACTACATCAATTACCAGGTTCATCCAACTAACCTTCAAACAGACCCTGGATCGAAACCAGGACATGCTATGTCTATCTTTTTTTATATTTTTTTAATTTATTTTTGGAGATATGATTATTTTCTCGCCTTTTGAAAGACTCGGAGGAAGTGCCAGGTGAAAGATACATCGAGCTATGTGTATGTATGCTTCTTCGAGGCTTTTACTCCTGGAATTATGCGCCTCACAAGCCAGCGCCGAGCGAGTGATTCACTCTCTTTTAGGGTCAGCCCTTCCAAAATATCCACCAACGAGTTCATCTTTTGGACGTTCAGGGTTCCATTTGTTGTTAACCACCTGAAGAACCCCCCACTCAATCCTTCGATAGATACTGCCAATCGACTGGCAGGATCGTCCAACCTCGCCTTATTAGCATAGATATATGCATGCGGGCTAGTCTCTGCTAAATGCATCTTTAGCAAGACTCTGTCCCCACCGTTGACATTCAAGCCCAGCCTTCGGGAAACTGTGAAACGAAAGCTTCCAGCGCGGACCTCACTTAGTTCCCCATGATGGCTCTCTGTAATAAGTACTACTTTCCCTGATAGGTACCCTCGTAGCTCGTCATACTTCTTCTTTCCCCACGCTGTTTGTGCCTTTTTCCGAGCTTTTTGGTTGAGTTCCAGATAATAGCGACGTAGGAGAGGATCCGGGGAGTTGCGAAGGTCATTGAAGGCATCGCGGGCGTCTTCAGCCCAATGGCGTATCGCTGGTTCCGTGTGGCACAGGTACTCTTTGAAGGCGAGCCTCCCCCCCCTTGGTTTCCGCATTGGGAATAGCATTGAAACTTTGCCATAGAGGTATGGAAACATTAAGATGATTTCCTGCCCATAGCTTCTTCGACATAGGTGGTAAAAACTCATCCAGATGGAAACCTCTAAGAGTTTGGAAGACCAGGCACATCCACATCTCTTGGAGGTTCAGTAATAGTTGGCCCTTTTCAGAATTAAAGACGTCGTGCACGGCGAGTTTGACAAAGACCGACTCCATGTCACTTCCTGAGTGCCAGATTGTGTAATGTAATGACTTTTGTCGGTGTCTGCGCCACGGATTGTTGTGTGTGCCGATTCTCTCACACAAATTTCTGGCCTGTCCAACATACAACCAGAAGCAGCCCGGTATACTCCTCCTCCATAATATATGAAGGTAGACCCCAGCTTCCTGGGAATCTTCCGGGTCTCCAGCAAGGGCAATCAAGCTTCGAATAACCGCTGTTAGTTCATGACCCAAGGATACTGAATTCAGACAGAGTACAAACCTAGAAAGAGTAAACTGCCCTCTCTCGCAGATTTCTTTTACGCAAAGTCTCAAGTTATTCTCCAGCAAGGTTTCAATACCCATATCAGCCGAGTCAAGAAGCTCAGAGTATCTATTGTTGTACCTTTGCTTGGTCTTTGAGATAAGATGGCGCAAGATTGATAGACGATCGATAACCCCAAGACTTTGATGACGGATTGAAAATGGTATGGGACGGGCTTCCGTAGTCTGGGGCTTTATTTGCGCGCTCTTCTATCATATAACATGTCAGAATGTATTATTAGAGAGAGCCAACGGGTAGAATGTACAAAAGCGTCAGATTCCAACTCGACGGACGGAAATTGACCTGTTGATTTAGGTAAAGCATGGGGTTGCAGCATATATGATCGCAGATTTTGGGTATCTATGTCCCTAGGACATTCGTCAATTTGATGCCATCCATGGCAATGGTGGCATCTTGTTTGAGTGCAGCAGTCTCGAGTGTGACCGACTTCCCCGCAGGCTGAGCAGAAACAACATAGGCATTCATCATAACCTTGCTTTGTACAGGACAAGCATGGAATGTATGCATTTGTCATCTTGAAAATGACCCTGGAAAGATGCAGGCGAAGGTGCCGACATACGGACGCTGTAGCCGGAAAAGGAGGCTCTTCAAGCGATGGGCAAGGAAAGTCAAGTCTGCAGTGGCTGGCGTGGCCGAGAAGAGAATGGCATGGTTAAAATGAAAGGACGTCTGTGCACCAAGAGAACTGATACGCCAAATCAGAGTCGTGAAGATGAATATGCTGTGGATGAAAGCCAAGATCCCCTTTCAATGTAAAGATGGAGCACAGTGAGATATGAAAGAACCAAGCAGTTTCTTACTGAAAACCCATGGGCTTGTGATATCTGAATAGTTCGAGAAGCAAACAGGAATTATGGGCACGATGCCTGTTTGATGGTGAGATAGAACAGTATGATGGCTTATAATGATCCATGGCCCGTAGCTCCACGATTAGAGGACTCACATGAAACGAGCCGATAGATGTGATTTAAACTAACGATAATCACGCAACATGCCTAAAACATGTCCGATTATAAACAAAAACGCAATATCAAAAATCACCGAAGAAGACGCCAAATAAAGCCAAGACCACCGAAGCCATATGCAAATATCCCTCGACCAGCATGAGCCTCGACCTGCAATCGGTATGCAATAATTCATGTGCAGCGGAATAAGGTAGGAATGGTAGCTACTCCTCGTATTGAACCTAAACAGCAGCACCAGTAGCGCCAGCGCCAGCCCCATTTCCAGCATCATGACTGGTTGAACCACGTCTGTGGAAGGGCCCAAAGTGGAAAACCTTCTTCACGGCGTTTGTGATACTGTTTTTCCGTCTCCCTTGGGGAGCGTCATTCGCAGGAGGATCTGGCTTCTTGGGCACAGTGGAGTCGTCTGCGAGGACGATTGATGTTGCTGCTGGCTTGGGCGGCCACTGGCCATCTGATTTCCAGCCTTGGACCATCGCCTTGGTCAGATGGGCGAGGTTGACGGGAACCGTGGGCGTCATGCCTTGTACAACGACTTTGGTGTAGATTGAGGGGTAGATTGCGGGGTTAATAGTTGCGCGAACAGGATTGTCGTCTGAAATGAAGGGAGGTGCGACTGGCAAGAGTGGCTCGTCGAGCTCTTCTTCCTCCTTCTCCTCTTCTGTTTGGTCTTCCACAGCAGGGAGTGAGGCCAGGTGACTAGGATCTGAGGACAAATGATCTGGGTTTGTGATATTTGTGCTGAGGGAATCATTGGGCTTGGCCTCCTCGTCTAGGGCAGTGGATTGTCCTTCCTCAAGGTCCGCTTGCTGCCCAGATGTCGGCTCTACTGGCCGCTGAAGCTCCTCGCCTTTCTCCCGGTCCTGGATAGAAAGCGAAGTTTCCGTTTTGGACGCCAGATCGGATCCGCCCACAGCTTCAGTGCTTCGACCAGGCAAGGTTGTAGCTGGGGAGGTACCCGCCGAACCACCAGTATCGGATTGATCTGTTGTATCGGCCTGCCCAGCCAAAGCACGCTTTCCCTCCTCGGCCCGGATCTGCCGCCGGGTCTTGGCCCCAGACCATGCATTGCGCCTTGCCATCCACATGCGCAGACCCGCATTCCATGCCATCTCTTCGTCCATTTGACGACGACGTTTGCGACGGCGCTCGATCGCGATATCTCCTACCGCCGCCGAAGGATCATCATCATCATCCTCTGTGTCTGAATTCTGAGCTTCGAGTTCTGAGGTTGGGCTATCGAATTCCCGCACCCGCCATTCGACTACCTCGCGGTTATGGCAGAGGGTACCGTCGGCGGAGGAAGCGGAAGGTACATTAGCGTCAAATTCCCAGTCATTGCGAACAACCTCTCGGACGAATAACTTGGCGTCGCGAACTGAGGCGTCGCGAGACCCTGTCGCCATCATTTCGCGATCTCGGTGGAGTGGGGGGTTGTGCGGGTGAAGTGGGGAGCTGTAAGGTTTTTTCTTCTCTGCTCGCCCGTGCCACTCCCACCCCGGATTTACTTGGGGTATGCAAAAATGGCGGAGAATATGAGAGAAAGATATCTTCACACAAGAGATTGAGATTCCTGGACGGGAGAGGAGGTGGCGGGAAGATCAGACCCGATGTCATATGGCACGTGCCCCAATGCGGAGATGCCTCTGTCGGGTTGAACCTGCGAGCTGCTCTGTCCTTTTTATAGGGTGGTTATATGTTTATATGCCCTCGATTCCACTAAATTAGCTATTAATAACCATGTTGGATCATGTCCGAGCCATCACACCACATTCCCGCATTTAATCTGGCAATACGAAGCGATTGACCAACAACCGAGAACTACGAAGTATAGACTTCGCTTATATTGAGCCCGGTGGACGCCAAGTCGGCTTGACACCAAGTCAATGCTCCGTACTTCTAGCCCTAAAGCTTTGCATTTTGGTGCAGTTCTACTGTACACAATGGAATATGCACTGCCGGGGCTACGCTGTAGAGTAAGGAAGCACAACTTACGATCTACCAGCAAAACTGTCCGATTTATTGCCTATTATTTCGCCGTCCACAAGTGCCGAGCTCAGTCCTATTTACCCTGTTGCTTAACATGTCGATCCCTTCCCAACACACCTGCATCTATGCCTTCCCCCCACTCGCCTCCTTCAATACTTGTTTCCACTCCAGCTCATCCCGACTATCTGCATGGATGGAGATGCTGACGTCAAGGGCCTTTCGCAGCTGCTCTTTGCTGCAGGCGTAGAGCATGCAAAGCTATCATTGGTTAGCTGATATATATCGGCGAGAAGGGATAGTCCCGAAAGATTTAGGAAACAGTACCTTGATCGACGCCTGAGATGGACCCCAGTGGATGAAGACAGTCTTGCTGCTACAGGCTCGGTATACATGATCAGCGATAATCTCAACCTTCACTTGATCGCAAACAACACTATCCATACCGTTTGCCCTCATTCCCAAGATCATACTCCACGTCGTACACGCCATAGCGGGGAGCCGGATTTCCATCTTTGTCAACCGCAGAGAAAAGTCTCTGGAGGAAGATCTCGTAGTCTGTCTCCGGGGATGAATCCTCCAGAATGATGGTAGTGGTGTCGTCCGAGATTCTGTAGATGATGAACTTGGGCTTGGGGGTTCCTCTCCCCGAGCGGAGTTGGTTGTATGCGGCGATGCACTGGTCGTGAATGGTTATTCTGGAATATTTAATCAGTTGCTGTCGTATATATCCTAATATTAATAGGGGGTCTCAAGTACCCGGATGGATTCTGGACCGTAATGTGAGATGTTAGTGTTTCAATCTACTATGCCTACACTTGGGGAGGTGAGCACGTACCGACATCTTGATAGTGATTGAATATCGATCAAGGGGAGCAAATGAAGATTGGTGGATTAGACAACGATGGAATTGCTGTCGATGTAAAGGATATTACGAGAAGGAGGTGTTGGTCTGCGTTCTATTTCCTCTCTTATATATCTATTCCCAAATCACATACTCAAAGCGGCTCTTTATCTGCTGCCTAGCTACAGCAAGCTCACCCAACGAACAAATAGTGCGAGCAAAGAAATGCTCCATGCATACGTGGACGCAGGAACTCGAATACCACGCAAGACTGAAATGTCTCTGCCTGTGGCTCAACATGAGCCTCCCACAACACATTAGATTAGGCACTACTATTCACCAGGCAAACTCCACTCCAAAGAAAAAGCCAGAATGATCATCAAATAATTGCGTAAATGCCAAGTGTCCACTGATGGCAGTATATACATTTGACTATTGGTACAGGTCTATCATATCGCTAATAGTACACAAGGAAAAGCCCCCGGTTTCCAAACAACACAATCCAACAAAAGCCAACAAAAAGGAAAAGAAGATGCATCAAGATCAAAGATCAGTCACGAACACGGGCTGACTGAACAGCAGCCTCGCCAGTAGGACCAGGGATGAAGCCCCACCCAGCGCTCTTCTGACGCCGGCCCTTGCGGTCACCGTACTGCTCGTCAAACTTGCGAATGGCAGATAGAGATGACATATCCTCGCTGATGGAAGCGCTGATCTCTCCCATTCCGCGTTCGAAATGAGTTCGTGTGAGGATGCGGCGCTCGGGGTAGGTGTATGGCTCGGAGCCTGTGTGCTTGGCTGCTGCCTCGTTCTCTTCACGGACGCATGCGAGCGCGGCTGCTACCGACAGGTTCTTCAGGTCGGAGCCTGAGTACAGGGGTGTGCGACGGGCTAGATCGGCTAGATCGACCGAGTCGTCGAGTTGTTCTTCTTTCAGGTGGATCTTCAGGACTGCGAGGCGGTCTTCCTCGGTTGGAAGGTCGACAAGGAGTCGGCGGGGTAGTCGGCGGAGAACGGCGTCGTCTAGATCGAAGGGCCGGTTGGTGGCAACCATGATGAATGCTGAGAGGTCGTTCATTCCATCCCATTCGCGTAGGAATTGGTTGATCAGTTCGCGATGGGAGGTGCGGCTGCTGGCTCCGGTGCGTGAGCAGAAGATTGCATCTGCTTCGTCGATGAAGACAACGCAGGGGCTGAGCTTCTTGGCGAGGGTGAAGATCGCCTTGACGTTCTTCTCACCTTCACCGACGTACATGTCGTACACTTCAGATCCACTGACCTCGAGCACAGTGGCGCCACTCTCGCGAGCCACGGCCTTTGCGAGGAGTGTCTTACCCGTACCAGGTGGTCCATACAAGAGGAGACCGGGGATCTTGTCAGTGGAAAGAACACCATATGTAAAGGCCTCGGGACGGATAAGTGACAGCGAGGTGAGGGTCTTCAGCGCGTCAATAGTCTCGGGAGGGACATGCACATCGTTGAACGTTGTGCGAATGCTGTTTGCATCGACCACACCATTGAGAAGCTTCTTCTCATGTGTGTTGCATGTTTTGCGCAGAGAAGCAAGCAACTGCTCGCGAGTTTGGCCTGCTTCCGAGTCCTTTTGTTTGGGAGACTTCTCCTTCAACCACTCATTAGTCACCCGATCACCTTTATCCATCAGCTCGATACCGCGGCGGATGTGTTCAAATCCAAACGGCTCATTGGTCTCTGCACAACCGAGTGCAAGGGTGGCAATCCAATGCACTTGGTTATATGACCAGTATCGATCCTCGATTCCGGATTCTTTGATTGTACTTTGCTCTAGCGGCCAGGCGCGGTTGCTCAAAATATTGTCCTTGGCTGGCGAAGCCTGTTCATTCAGGCGGAATCGAAGCATGCTTTGCAGGTGGCGGATATTGATGTCCATGGTGCGCTTCTTACAGTCTTCAGCGAAGACAGTTTCTGCTGCCTTTGACTTCATAGCCGGAGTGACAAACAAGGTCTTCGAAAACTGATCATCAAGAACATTCTGAAGGAGTCCTGCGCCATCCGCCGAGGGCGCAGAAGGGATTTCCTGGGAGGTTGTTCCGATCAACAGAATCTTGGATCCAGCCCCTCTCCGATCTTGGATGACTTTGTGCAAGATAGAAATGAAGTTTGACCCTTCTCGGGTGTTCTGAATGTCACGGTAATCCTGGATATGCACAATGATGTCCCGAGATGACTGAGCCTTGCTGGCGTCTGTTTCAGGGCTTTCAGCCGAGGCATTGTTTGTCGACTGCACTGGTTGGCCAAGAATCTCGGAGACGAGTTGAATCCAGCGGGTTTCAGCACGCTGACCACTTCGAGAAGCTCCAATACTTGGATCCGGGTCCGCTTGGCCATTGATAGATCCCAAGAGCGTTTTCAGTCCAAGCCAGTTGGGAAGTGGGATATCTCCAGAATCTTTGCTGCTCTCGATTGTGATAAATCGAGGCGCTCCAATTGCCCCGTGCATTCCACGAGGACCCCCAGGGATCTCAGAAACATCATCTTCGCCATCTTCATGGTCCTCCAATTCTGACCAGTGGTTTGCAACAGAAGACCGATAGACCTCATACCCAAGAGATCGAATAGGCGAAGTTACGCCTGAATCTGCTAGGTCTTGCTCACTGAACAACTGGGCAATATCCTGGGCATTGAGGGTGACCAGGTCAGTACCTAGCTCGTGAGAGAGCCTTTTCACCACCGCGTCCAAGAACAAAATTCCATCCTTCCCGGGGTAGTGCAGTGCCAGATGCGACTTCTTCGCAGAAGGTTCCTTGGCATACTTTGCGGGTGGTAGCCGCAAGCCTGCTTTGACCGAGGCCCGAAGCTCATCCCAAGATTCCTGAGCCACAGCGTAGCGATTCTCTGGAGCTAGTTCACTAGGTTCAGACGAATCGGGCGCGCCCCCGGTAGCATGATCCTCATTTGTAACATCTTCCGGCTCCGGTGGCCCTGACTTGGTTATCCGAACCTGCTGTAGCGGTTGTGTAGGAGCGTGGATATCGGGGCTGTGGGACACAGTGTTGCGCTCAAAGAACCACTTAGGTACAGTTGCTGCTGATGTAGATGCCTCTTGGGTCGATTTCCGGTTTCGCATAGCTCTGCGCACGGCAGATCCATACTTTTTTGTGGCCGTAGTGACCGATGCGGGAGACGGAGAAGGAACGGACGGGCCACTGGCTGACGGTTCTTCGCTTTTGACAGTATTGTCCTCTGTAAACTCCCCCGACGCTGTAGATTCTACATCATGAGGGTCTTGGGGTGGCGACACGAGGCATCTTCTGGATAAATGGAACTGGCGTGAGGGTGCGGATAACGGTGCGGAATAACGGCGATGAGCGACAAATCGACAGGGGCGCGCAATGGACAGCCGAACCTGTTGCATTGACGAATACATCCGGGACAAGGTCACCAGATTTGAATGTATGATATCGCCGGGAATTGAGATCTTGCTTCAGTCGCAAGTGGCGCATGAGACGGACCCTGCGAGGGAGAAACACAGAGTCACGTGATTGATATTTTCTCCATCGTTGAACTGCAGGCAAGAGAAGCTACCACGATGTCATATGCAATGAAGAAAGAGAGTTCACAGGTTACCAACGCTCATGTATGACCTGAGAAGCATTATATAGTCATGTCATATGTAAGACTAGGGATCCACTACAGGATGCTATAATGATCTTCAACCAGGATGCTAATAAAGTTCAGCCCAAATGTTTACAGACACAAAGAAGTATATGAGGTTATAGGAAAGCGATTTTATTAAAATAAGTAGATATTCAGAGAAGTATATAGTAAAATGAACTCAAAGGCAAATTGATCATCAGAAGGAAGGCAACGGAAATCTCTACACGGTTTTGCGCATTAAGAACAGGTCTGTGAGTTTACATCCGAGAATTTTTCATCACCTGATCAATTTGCCTTGGTTGTTCGTCCATGTTGTGCGTGTCAAGATACTATAACTGAAGGGCAATGTTAGCGAGAGCTCTTTACAAGACATGATAGTGAATATGCATGACAGAATGATCTCAGACAAGATATACTGGCAAGTAGCAGACCAACCGGGAAGGAAAGTCCGAATTATCTCCGCATTGTCGATTTGGAGGGTAAAGAAGTAAAGTGTTTTGTCATCCTTGAACAGGAGGGGGAAATATAAAGACAATTGGGTACTCACAGAAAGGTCAAAGGTGCCAGCACCTGATCTGTTGGTTAGTATGAGCCATCATGCCACTTGAGAGGCAATCCACATCATGAAAGCACTCAAAAGCACACAAGATAGCTCAAGAAAGGCAGTGAATAGCCAATGCAAGTATCTTTGAAGTCTGCAAAGCAGAACTGAAGTATCTGCACAGAAAAGAGAGAGTGAAGAAGATAAAGAAGAAAGAAAGAAGAGCGAAGAAAAAAAAGTTGAAGAAAAAGACTAGAGACTTCTCACGTGATCACGCCCCTATTAGGCATAGCGCGTGATTGGAATCAGACTGAGATGAGGGAAAAAAAGCCTCGCGTTTCCTGAGAAAGTCCAGAGATGATTGATTAAGACTACAATTCCTTCATCATGTCATTGTAGCTATTTTCTTCTCATCTTTTTCCAGGGGATATTGATCGCGTTGTCGTCTCGGTTAGATCCTCCACCTACGGACCCGGATCCTCCGTCCCCAGTTCTCTCTCTCCCACCGGGCGATCATCCTTAATTCCCTTATGGGCGCCAACTCCCCTACACACTCTGTCAACATCTAGTTCTATATCTTCATCGTGGTGAGTGACTGTCTGTATCTTTGTAGCCCAGCCCCTCCCACCACCGACCCCCCTAACTACCCTAACCATCCTGCCCCCCCGGGCTTTCATCCGACCTCCCTCTTATCACTCCCCACTGACACCCTTTTCTCTCTCCAGAAAAGTCACCGGTTAGCGGGTGAGTGACTTGCAGGCCCGATCGATGCTTACGCATCTTTGTTGAATACCGGAGTCACTTGCTACGTTTGGGCCCGCCAGCTAAAAGCGGCCTTCGCATCCTAGACGCGCTTCTCTCCTTTGCCACGAATCACCGCTCTTTCACTGTCGCGACCTGTTAGGAAGTCTCCCCTTAGTGGTGACTTCGTCGCTCAGCAATGATGATGACGCAGCCGTTCCCTGCCCACCAAGGCATGCCACAGCATGGATTTCCCCCCGGTCACCCAATGGCTGGACAACATCCAAATGGACACCCAGGTCCCGGAATGGTACAGCAAATGCACCCTGGTGTATCCGCGCCAGGAGGGCCTCAAGTGAGCCAAGCTGGTCCGATGATGGGTGGGATGCCCCCGGGCGCTGGCACGGCTGGTCCTGGCGGTCCGGTACCGAATGCCCACGCTCTCTCTCACCTGAATCCCGCGCAGGCGCATATGCTTCAGGGCCAACCCTTCCCTCAAAATTGTCAGTATCTAGCCTAATCATTGTTTGATCATGTTTGTGTGTGTGATATTGTACGGTTGGGTTACGTGATCGGCACCCTCCGCGCTCGATTATCGCCCCCGCTACATCCACATCATGCCCGAAACATCTTGCTGGGCCGCATACTAACACTGTTGACAATCCTATAGTCGCGAATAATCCGCAATTATTACAGCAGCACCAACAGCAGCAATTCATGCGTCAGCGGATGATGCTTCAACAACAACAGCAACACCAGGCACAACAGCAACAGCAGCAGCAACAACACGGACTCCCTGTCTCATTACCCAATGGTACCCAAGGAATAAGTGCCGCTCAAATGGCTGCGATGCAAGCGAACCCCGGAATGCGACCCGTTAACATGGGAATGCACTTGCAGCAACAAATGCCGCATGGCCAGCCGCAAAACCTCCAACAGCAGCAATTTTTTGCCATTCAGCAGGCACAGCAACAGGCGCACCAGGCTCAGCAGGCACAACAACAGGCGAATAATGGACAGCCGGGCCAACATACACCACAGCGGGCATCTGCGCAACCACCGAACATGCACGAAGCGCAAAGCGCCACTCCCCAGTCACAGCATGGCCCGCCACCAGGGAGCGGTACACCACAGCCCTCCCAACCGGCTCAAACCCCTTCTAGCCAACCACCTCAATCGCAGGGAATGCCTCAGGGCCAGGCCACCCCGAATCCCCCACCACAGCAACTGCCTCAGGCCCAGCAGCCAAATCAACAGGGACAGCCCGGTCCGCAGCCGACTCCTCAGGGCGTACAGCCTCAGCAAGGCCAACCAGGTCAGCCACAGGGCCCTCAACATCCACAGATGATGTCCCAGGAAGCTCAATTGAAAGCGCAACAACACCAGAACGCTCTCATGATGCAGCAAAGGATGAAACAGACGGGACAATCAATCTTGACTCTTTACAGCTATGCTGAGATTTTGAGCAATTTCCAATCCCGGGGTGAGGCACATGATCTTTCATACTGGCAGACCTTTGTCGAACGCTTCTATTCTCCTGGTGGTGTGTTGCGACAGGGTGTTTGGAACAATACCGCGGGCTCGAAGCAATTCGAGATCGCGACGCCTGCTCTTGCACGTTACTACCTGACTCAATTCACCAGCGGAATCACTCAGATTCAGATGTGCGTGGAAGCTGCCCGTGAGCGGGAGTCTGGAAATGGAGGTCACATTGTAGAGAGTGGCAAAACCTCATTCATTTATTGGTTCAAGAATGAGTGTCAGGTACGTATTCAATGTTCATTTGTCATTTTTCCATTGCGCTGACTTTTTGTCTACAGCTCTTTACTAATGGCACGCTCCGTGCGTATTTCGATGTCAACAACAGACTTGAGATGCTTGATATCAATGTTCTCAATCATAACGAGTTCATCCCCCGATCTCTGCTGCTGGCCATGGAAGCCGACTCGCTGAAGCAAAGCCCTAAGGTTCCTAAAAATGCAAAGCGCGCCCAGCAGAAGTCTTCGCCCTTATTATCACTTCCGGACTCCATGGTTACTGCCAATGGTGTTCCTACCCCGGTCATGGGCTTCTTGGAGGTGGCGGAGACCATCTCTCAAATGCAGATGCTGTTCCAATATTCGCAGACAGTCCCGCACCTAACACCTCCTGACGCATTGAGAAGTCTCGTCGGCACTCTCCAAACGCAAAATCCCAACCCTGGCTTTGCTCCAGGCCCCATGAATCCGGGTATGCAACCTATGCAAAATGTTCGAGGGCCTAGCATGGGCGCGCCATCGCAGTTCGCCTCGCCTGCCATGGCACATCTTGGCCTACCAGGGCAACAAGGCTCGCCTCATCTGAGTGGCTCAGCGCACCCAAGCCCTGCTCAAAGCAACCTCGCTGGTCCCCCAGGAATGCAACCACCAATGCAGCCATCACCGGCTGGTGTCAATAACAGTCCAAATGTAGGTGGCAACAAACGTCGCCGGGCAAGCACAGTCAAAATGGAGTCCGAGGATGGCGCTGGAGTCGAGGCTAACGGCGCACCCCAACAGGGCTCAGCGAAAGTGAAGGCTAGCCCTCGGGTGCCAAAACGACAAAAGGGCGCCGCGGCCTGATTATGTTAAAGTTCATTTGCTTTTACTCGGCTTCTTTTTCATCCCCATTTTCAGGCGATGTGGAATTGGCGTACGACTGGATACCTGGGCAAAGCATATCGCCCACCCTTGTTTGTTTATTCCTTTTTTTGGATCTTCAATCGCCTTGAACGATCTTTCTCCGCTTTCGGCACATGACGACTCAGTTCACAGTCCAGTCGGGATATAATTGCGTGTGGCCTCTACCCATCATCCTCACTCGGAGACGGCGCCGAGCCGCATCGATCCCACTTGACTCCGACCTAATGTACTCTATCTTCCTTTCAGCGTTTCCTTGGTTTGCTCGGGATAACCGCCTGACATTGCATGTTTTGTTTTCACTTTCGCGTTCGGTTTCTTTCGATCCTTTTGCCATACTTGGGATTTGACGACTTCTGGTTTGGTCTTGTTAGGCTTTGGCTATTCTTCGCTATTTCCTTGCTTGTCTGTTTGTGGACAGACAGAATTATTGATATCCGTGTTTGGTGACTGAACCGGCGTCCGGTTTTCTAGTCTCTTGTTTTGGGGACGTCGTCCGCGTGCATTGGGGTGTTCCATTTGGGCCTTTTGCTTGGTGGCCTTGGTGATCTTTTCCGACACTTTCCCACAGGGGTTGTCCTCTTTCTGCCGCTTTTTTTTTGACGAATCCATCAATACCTGCTTTCTCTCTACAGTACTTTATGCTTCGTAGTTCGAATATTCAGATTCACATAGTTCAAAGATCCCCACAAGCCGGCGAACTCCGTTTCGGCATCGGCCAACTGTTTGGCAGCTCGGCATTTGTTATCATTATCAGTTCCCCACCATTTCTCCCTTGCTTGAGAAAACATTGCCCCTCCTTCTTTTTGCTTCCTCCAT